TTTTTTTGACAGGAGATGGTGTGGATGCTGACTCTCTAAAAGAGATAATTACTAATGGCTTGAGAATGGTCAAAGCTACAGGTTTGGAACCTATAGGAATGGTATGCGATTTGTCCAGAATAAACCAAAAATTGTATAGAAATTTGGGTATTACAGTAGATAATCCACAATTTCAAATAGACGGGCATAGGTATTTTGCATTTTTCGATGTGCCACATTTAATAAAATGCATCAGAAATAATTTTATTCAAGCTGATTTTATATTTAACGGAAAATATATAAGATTTGCTGATGTTAAAAAATTGTACGATCTCGACCAAAGCAGCAAAACTGGAAGGGCTCTAATAAAGTTAACACCAAAACATATTCACCCAAATTCTTTCGAGAAAATGAATGTAAAACTTGCCACTCAACTACTTAGTCATTCTGTAGCTGCAGCTATTAAAACAGCAACCAGAACAGGTGAATTAGTTTCGGTTACATCTGAAAATACGGCGTATTTTATTGAAACCATAAATAATTTGTTTGATTCTCTAAATAGTACAAGTCCTTATAGCTCAAGACCATGTAGTCGAGCTTACTGTGACCAGAATATCGAGGTTATTAATGCTACTCAAAGAGGATACGAACTATTTAGAGATTTGTATAAACAGACTAGTAATGGCAAGTTAACAAGACCTGATTCCTTCGATGGTTTTTTACTGACCATAAATGCGGTCAAACAATTTTATTTAGATTTAAAGGACAAAGGTCTTAAATATATATTAACCGGAAGATTAATTCAGGACCCTTTAGAAAATCAATTTTCGGTTTACAGGCAGAAAGGAGGTTACAATCGAAACCCTACTGTGAGAAGTTTTAAAGCCGCTTTTAAATTAAATATAGTTAATAATTTTATGAAACCTCCTGCTAAGGCAAATTCTGGATCAAATTCTGATGAAGACAGAAATCTATTATCTTCAAATACCTCATTAACACTCAATATTTTGAATACAACTGAAGACTTAACTGAGGACGAAAAAGCAGATAATAATGAACCAGAATGTGAAAGTAACTTGGAGGGGCCATCGAAATCAGTCGACGACTACTCCGAAGCCCCTGTCACTTTGGAAGAGTGTTCTACTTTATATTTTGCAGGATATTTATTAAAAAAGTGTTTACATAAATTTAAATGCGAAGGTTGTCAAAATCATTTAGAAGGTTCAGGAGATATGGATGACAAACACCAACTATTAATTTTTTACAAAAGTTATGATATGAGTGACAAATGTGGATTAAAAAATCCATCAACATTGTTGACTTCATTTACGAAATTATCATTCCAAATATTTGCCGAGTACTTCGATAAATATTGCACAAAAAAAGTATTACAAAATTTACGTAATATAATTGAGGAGAGAATGCACATAATTTTGCCAGAATGGTACAATTGTGACAATAACTGCAAAATTCACAGGAACTATATTCTTGAATTATTAATTGTAACACAAATTTTCAAAAATTGTAAAAATCGTTCTAAAACGGAAGTGACAAAGAAAACAAAGAAAAATGAAGTTTCCAAAAAAAATACAAAATTATCAATTCTTCAGCATAAATAACTAAACCTACCATTTTCTTTATTTTTCTTATGATTTCCTTTTCTATTTTTTTATGATACCTGAATGTACCTAACGATGTATAAATTTTACATAAAAATGTTTTTCTATGTTTAAAGTGTAAATATAATCAGCTTATGTTTTACTTCGTAAATTACTTTTTTAGTTTTATGCGATTTTTTATAACCCTATGGCAACGTAAAAATATGTACAATTTTAAATTAAAAATGTTTTTGTTGTTTAAAAATCAATGTATTTAATGTAAACTGAATACTGTTCTGCCTAAAAACATTTAAGCTTAAAAAATACAAAATTGTTTATTAAACTAACTAGGATATACCTAAATAAATGTTTTCCCTTTTCAATCCCTATACATTTTTTCTTTTGTAAACATTTTCTATTTATAGTAATTACCTATTTCAGCTACATTATTAGGTATTGTTTTATAAAAAAAAAAACAGAAGACTGAACAAAACATATTCTATATACCTACTTACTGAATAAAATATTCATTAATTATTACATCGAACATTGAAAAACAAAGTGATGCCCACTTTACAAAAATAACAGACAAAAACATAATTTGAGAAGAACACTTTTAACTTTTAATATTATTTTCTCCTACAAAGTTTACTGTTAAATTCTCACAGCAATTATTTTGATATTAATGAAACTATTTAATATACCTAGTTTTAATTTATTTGTTAACCAGAAACTACAATAAAATACCTATTAATTTAAAAAAACAAACTACACGGATTTTTGAACACCTACCTACCTAGTATAACTTCTGTTTTAAAGTCTGGGACGTATAATAAATAATAATATATATACAACCATTGTATAAATATAACATACAACTGGACCCACTGGTTGCATTTATTTGCGTAAAATAACTTAAATTCACACCAAAACTAGAAAATTGCATAATGCTAGCCCATCCATTTAAAGGCCATGTAAGCAACTAATATATCCCAATTATAGGCTGGTCAACTATTCTGCGACAGTTGCCACTTTTGTTAAACTAGAGACGATGTACCGTTGATGTACCATCCAAAAATTCGTAAAATGACAACACAGCGATTACGTTGCACAATGATCAAACAATCGTAACTTCTCTCTCTGGCGCGGCGTCTAGAAAACTATCTTCTGCCTCCGACCTCTCTTAACTTAGCTACTGTCCGCTTGGAACCGCTATGTGATGGAGATATTATAATCAAACTTTATTTACATAGGCGTTGACCTACTATATATATTTATACAATGCTTTTATCCTATAGAAAATTTCTCTAAAATGGACCGTATTCGAGATATTTAACAAAAAGTGTAAAATTCGAATTTTGACAAAAACTAAAAAACGAACATAGAGAAAAACATCAAATTTTAAATTTAAGCTTTATTCCGACCTGTGGTGAACTGATTAAATTTTAGGCAGAGTCGGAACATCTGCTTTATAGGAGGCCATTTTTATATTTCATGAAATATAACTGTTATTTACATTTGGAGAAGAAAATTTTTCAAATAAAAGTTACTTCTAATATTATTCTCTATAATTTTTGTCCTATAGAAAATTTCTCTAAAATGGACCGTATTCGAGATATTTAAGAAAAAGTGTAAAATTCGAATTTTGAAAAAAACTCAAAAACGAACGAAGAGAAAAACATCAAATTTTAAATTTAAGCTTTATTTCGACCTGTGGTGAACTGATTAAATTTTAGACAGAGTCGGAACATCTGGGGGGGTACTTTATAGGAGGCCATTTTTATATTTCATGAAATATAACTGTTATTTACGTTTGAAGAAGAAAATTCTTCAAATAAAAGTTACTTCTAATATTATTCTCTATAATTTATGTCCTACAGAAAATTTCTCTAAAATGGACCGTATTCGAGATATTTCACAAAAAGTGTAAAATTCGAATTTTGACAAAAACTCAAAAACGAACAAAGAGAAAAACATCAAATTTTAAACTTAAGCTTTTTATTCCGACCTGTGGTGAACTAATTAAATTTTAGACAGAGTTGGAACATCTGGGGGGTACTTTATAGGAGGCCATTTTTATATTTCATGAAATATAACTGTTATTTACGTTTGGAGAAGAAAATTCTTTGAATAAAAGTTACCTTTAATATTATTCTCTATAATTTTTGTCCTATACAAAATTTCTCTAAAATGGACCGTATTCGAGATATTTAACAAAAAGTGTAAAATTCGAATTTTGACAAAAACTAAAAAACGAACAAAGAGAAAAACATCAAATTTTAAACTTAAGCTTCATTCCGACCTGTGGTGAACTGATTAGATTTTAGACAGAGTCGGAACATCTGGGGGGGTACTTTATAGGAGGCCATTTTTATATTTCATGAAATATAACTGTTATTTACGTTTGGAGAAGAAAATTTTTCAAATAAAAGTTACTTCTAATATTATTCTCTATAATTTATGTCCTACAGAAAATTTCTCTAAAATGGACCGTATTCGAGATATTTCACAAAAAGTGTAAAATTCGAATTTTGACAAAAACTCAAAAACGAACAAAGAGAAAAACATCAAATTTTAAACTTAAGCTTTTTATTCCGACCTGTGGTGAACTAATTAAATTTTAGACAGAGTTGGAACATCTGGGGGGTACTTTATAGGAGGCCATTTTTATATTTCATGAAATATAACTGTTATTTACGTTTGGAGAAGAAAATTTTTCAAATAAAAGTTACTTCTAATATTATTCTTTATAATTTTTGTCCTATAGAAAATTTCTCTAAAATGGACCGTATTTGAGATATTTAAGAAAAAGTGTAAAATTCGAATTTTGACAAAAACTAAAAAACGAACAAAGAGAAAAACATCAAATTTTAAATTTAAGCTTTATTCCGACCTGTGGTGAACTGATTAAATTTTAGACAGAGTCGGAACATCTGGGGGGGTACTTTATAGGAGGCCATTTTTATATTTTATGAAATATAACTGTTATTTACGTTTGGAAAAGAAAATTCTTTAAATAAAAGTTACTTCTAATATTATTCTCTATAATTTTTGTCTTATAGAAAATTTCTCTAAAATGGACCGTATTCGAGATATTTAACAAAAAGTGTAAAATTCGAATTTTGACAAAAACTAAAAAACGAACAGAGAGAAAAACATCAAATTTTAAAATTAAGCTTTATTCCGACCTATGGTGAACTGATTCGATTTTAGACAGAGTCGGAACATCTGGGGGGGTACTTTATAGGAGGCCATTTTTATATTTCATGAAATATAACTGTTATTTACGTTTGGAGAAGAAAATTTTTCAAATAAAAGTTACTTCTAATATTATTCTCTATAATTTTTGTCCTATAGAAAATTTCTCTAAAATAGACCGTATTCGAGATATTTAAGAAAAAGTGGAACATAAACAAATTTTGATATATATTTAATTTTATTGTTTTTTTATATCTATCCAGAATAATTATTAAACATTATTTATAAAATAAAATTAATGTTGAGAAGTTTCTTCTTTCTTCTCTAACTTCCTTCCTAACAAATCTATTTTATTCAGTGGTTTACAATCGATATCTGACTCTGAACTGTCTTCATCAGAAGAAGAAGCCTCATAGCATCCTATTCCAGGTAATACTGCTATACATTTTAACCCTGTATCAACCTCTTAAAATAAATAAATAAATAAATAATAGAATTATTTTTATTATTTAACAAAAACGAACCTATTGATAATTTTTTTTTAGTAACTTCTATAGAATCATCACCAGATTCGCTGATTTTCCTCTTCTGACTTTCAGGTCTTTTTATAACCACACCTTTCATTAATTTCTGTTGCATATTAGGTTGTTTATCTTTTTTTACTTTGTTTACTACAATTTCAGCTTGCAGTCTTTCGTCCATTGATTTTTCTTGCAATATAGACACTCTATTTCGATAATCAAGCAATTCTTGCTCTTCTTCTAATTCCTTTCTCCTATCAGCTTCTGTTTTTTTACGGTCAACAAGATCTAGGAATTCTATTTCATCGTCGTCCAATCCTTTTATCATATTCTCTAAAAATATGTTACTAATTATACTCTGCCTAATTCACCCCCCATACTAGTGAATTTCAACCCCCTAAGCTTGTGGGAAGAAGGGACAAACTATTTAAAAACACATCTATAAATACCTCAAAACTAAAATATGAATATATTTACTTAGTTTATGTGCTTCCTCATATTCAAGATCCTTTTTTTGCTTTTGTTCTTGCAATTTTTCAAACAAACTTCGATTATCATATGGTTCTTCTGGTTTCACTATATAAAAACCAAATTTTAATGTATTAACCTAATTAAAAACGGTTTAGGTACAAACTAAATTAACTATATGAATATTAGATAAATTATTATAGTAATTACTAACCTAGTGGGTCGTCAGCATTACGAACAGTTTCCCATTCTTCTTGTCTGCGTTTTCTTATTTCTGCTGCTTCAGATTCGGTGATAAATCCGGAGCTCATTTTTGCACTTTTTTTTTTCTTTGTTGATTTTAAAAGCTGGGTTAGTTGTTTCGAGGTAAAAAGTATTTTTTCATATTACTGTTTGTGTAGTTTAAATTTTAAATATGTATCTACAATATAAAATCGTTCTACGGGTATATGATACAGATAAAAATTATAAATTGTTAATTATTTTAATAATTTAGACATTTGTTGATTACTGACAGTGACAGGAATATGTGCGTTCGGTCTGCCAAGTTCCTTTAACTCTTTTAACACTTTTAACTCCAAACGACCCTTTTAGCGTTCGGTTTAGTCCGATTAGTGACAGTTTAACACGCTTAAATGTCATTTAAAAGCACCCTAAAATTTGTCTCGCTCCAGCCCCTGACTATCTGAACTCGCCTTTTTATGACTTAAAAGTGTAATGCAAAGGTGCGGACACTTTAGCATCATGCTAATTTATTTATTAGTACTGAATTTGCTGTTTGCAACGTGAATTAATTTAGAACTTATGCAAGCACCATCCCAGTCTCAAAGTTTCTCCTATCCTTAATTCGCTGTTAAATTATGGTTTCGTGTTCCATGCGTTTGACGTTTATAATTTATAACCTAAGTTTTTCATAACATTTTAAATTATATTTTCATTTGTATTTATAAGTAATCTGTAGTATTTATTATTGAAAAGACGAAGCTCTTCCAATGAACTTTTCCAGTGCTTCTTGTCTTTTAAATGTTAGAAGCGTTATTTCGAAATTTCAGCTATCATTTCCAAAAAATAGTTATGCCAAGAAAGAGGGAGGAAGTAAGTATTTTTACCTACATAATCCCTATTAATTGTAATATATAGAAAGCATTAAAAAGTTAAAGAATAATTCTTAAATTTAAAACGCCTAGAAGGGTAGTTTTAGTTGATTTTATTCTATAAAAATTTGTTAGGTTAGGTTTGGAATAACTATTTATTTTATTGGTTTTGATTGTATGTCTGGGACTAATAGAAGGCAAATTCTATGTAACTTCACTCGTCAATGTCTATGCTTAAAGATTAAGTAGTTTTAGACATAGATTTTTAAATATAGTAGGACTGAGACTTTATATTTGTGTGCAGGTGTGAGTATGATTGGTGGAGCTTTAAAGAAAAAAAAATTAGGAAAATTAGGGCCCGTAATGGAGAAGAAAGTATTACCCGTTGAAACAGATCCTGAAAAATTAGTTAAATACGTTTGCGGTACAAATATATATAAAACAGGAGAAAATGCTCTTATTAAACCAGATAGTGAATATCCTGAATGGTTATGGAATCTAAGGCTTGGTCCTCCACCACCTTTAGAAGAACTGGATCCCGAATCCAAGGAATATTGGAAAAGGGTCAGGAAAATGGCTATGAGAAGAAACAATCAACTGGCAAAGTTAAAGAAATTCTAAGCAAGAATATCAATGTAAATAATGTATTTAGTTATTAATGACAATTTTTTAAGATTATTGTAAGTAAAATGTAAAATAAAATGATAGAGAGTATCAAAGTTGAATTCCTATTTGTTTAAAGTTGAAATTGGAACCTTTGTTTCGTCCCTAATTCCAAAACTAATAAATTTATAACCTTCAAAATTTCAGAATACATTTATAAAGAGTGTGAAAACATTATTCTACAAACAAAATTCTTAAATTCCAACTAGTATTAAAGTTAAATTCCTACTTGTTAAAGTTGATATTGGAACCTTTGTTTCGTCCCTAATTCCAAAACTAATAGATCTATAAACTTCAAAAATACATAACACATTTATAAAGAGTGTAAAAAGATTATTCTGCAAACAAAATTCTTAAATATCAACAGCTGTTAAAGATAGAGAGAATCAAAGTTAAATTCCTACTTGTTAAAGTTGATATTGGAACCTTTGTTACGTCCCTAATTCCAAAACTAATAGATTTATAAACTTCAAAATTTCACAACACATTTATAAAGAGTGTAATAAGATTATTCTGCAAACAAAATTCTTAAATATCAACAGCTGTTAAAGATAGAGAGAATCAAAGTTAAATTCCTACTTGTTAAAGTTGATATTGGAACCTTTGTTTCGTCCCTAATTCCAAAACTAATAGATTTATAAACTTCAAAATTTCAGAACACAATTATAAAGAGTGTAGAATCATTATTCCACAAACAAAATTCTTAAATTCCAATAACTATTAAAGATAGAGAGTATTAAAGTTAAATTCCTACTTGTTAAAGTTGATATTGGAACCTTTGTTTCGTCCCTAATTCCAAAACTAATAGATTTATAAACTTCAAAATTTCAGAACACAATTATAAAGAGTGTAGAATCATTATTCCACAAACAAAATTCTTAAATTCCAATAACTATTAAAGATAGAGAGTATTAAAGTTAAATTCCTACTTGTTAAAGTTGATATTGGAACCTTTGTTTCGTCCCTAATTCCAAAACTAATAGATTTATAAACTTCAAAATTTCAGAACACATTTATAAAGAGTGTAGAAAGATTATTCTACTAAAAAAAATCTTAAATTCCAACTAGTATTAAAGATAGAGTGTATCAAAGTTAAATTCCTACTTGTTAAAATTGATATTGGAACATTTGTTTCGTCTCTAATTCCAAAACTAATAGATTTATAAACTTCAAAATTTCACAACACATTTATAAAGAGTGTAAAAAGATTATTCTGCAAACAAAATTCTTAAATATCAACAGCTGTTAAAGATAGAGAGAATCAAAGTTAAATTCATACTTGTTAAAGTTGATATTGGAACCTTTGTTTCGTCCCTAATTCCAAAACTAATAGATTTATAAACTTCAAAAATACATAACACATTTATAAAGAGTGTAAAAAGATTATTCTGCAAACAAAATTCTTAAATATCAACAGCTGTTAAAGATATATAGAATCAAAGTTAAATTCCTACTTGTTAAAGTTGATATTGGAACCTTTGTTTCATCCCTAATTCCAAAACTAATAGATTTATAAACTTCAAAATTTCAGAACACATTTATAAAGAGTGTAGAATCATTATTCCACAAACAAAATTCTTAAATTCCAACTAATATTAAAGATAGAGAGTATCAAAGTTAAATTCCTACTTGTTAAAATTGATATTGAAACCTTTGTTTTGTCTCTAATTCCAAAACTAATAGATTTATAAACTTCAAAATTTCAGAACACATTTATAAAGAGTGTAAAATCATTATTCCACAAATAAAATTCTTAAATTCCAACAACTATTAAAGATAAGAGTATAAAAGTTAAATTCCTATTTTTTAAGATTATTGTAAGTAAAACGTAAAATAAAAATATTGGTAAAGTACTCAAAATATATTTATATACAGGGTTATTATATAGTATGGAAATAGCAAACAGCCAAGCAGCGATAGTACCTGAAAACTGGAAAAACAGAGGAAAACAAGAACTTTTTTTGCAGTGTTCTGTTTATAGAACTGAAATAAATAAAATAATAATTAAAGAACATTGTTTTTTATTAATATGAAACACCAAAATAAACAATTATAATTCTACATTTCTGCTAAGGCACCGTTGTGCAAAAAACTCATTAACAGGTTTTTGAACGCCTTTTTCTTTGCTAGTAATTTTAAAAAATGAGGTTATTGAAGTATTATTAGCAGGCGGAGTTTTTTTGGAATCTTCGGTTTGTTCCCATTCTACATGATAAGCTTCTTCTTCCAAAGCATTTACAGCTGTTGACCAACTAAATCTTACCAATTGTGGAAAACCAAACACTGGATCTGAATGGCGTTTAAGAAAATTTTTGGTTATTGGATCTGCAGGGTAACCACTGCCAAACTCTTTATATGTGATATCAATTCCTTCTGGAAATTTCCAGACTTTAATTGCATGATCTCTTGTAACTTTAGCACAAATACTAGCAGCCGAAACAATGGGATAAATAGAATCAGCTTTTTTAGATACTGTAATTTTAAACTTGGGAAACAATCCTTTCAAATAATCCTGGTATTTCTCTGGAGGTCCTACGGTGTCGACAAATATATGTTCGATATTAACTCCTCCATTCGCAGCTGCTTTTATTAGCGCAACAGCTGAATCCATGGAAACTTTATTTAATGAATGTTTCGTACGACTTAACATACTGTTACAAATATAATTGGGTGAAATTAATTCTACCGCCCAACCTATGGATTTAGATTCTTTACAAATATTGTTAAATATAACGTCGCGTTTCTCTTCAGTAAGAGCTTTTGAATCGGCGCAATCTAATTTTACGAGAATCATCTGTTCATTGATTGGACAAAAAGTAGTTCCGTACACCATTGGACCTTTAAAAGAATTTATAATTGAATTTATTCATGATTAAAAACGATATCGATTTAAACAGTGTAAAAATAAGACTGAAAGTTTGAATTAACTGTTAAAACTAACCTAAAACTGGTCCTCGTCCAGCTTCATCGATTCCTAATATACAAGGAAATTCTTTACAAACTTCTGGTATATCAGAAATATAGAAGGCATTTTCAGAGTTATCAGTTTCTGAAATAAAATTCTGCAACGTTTCTAAACAATGTATTTTCTGGCTATCCATTTTATTATCAATAACCTCACTCAAAACTTGGCGCGTTTTTGATGTTTTTTTTTTATCAAAAATCTTTAAAATTTCAATGGTGCCAATCTCTAGAATTTTGACGTTTTGCATGGAACAAAATACTCAGTAGGTGCGAACGTTTATTCAAGTTCGAACAGACAAGTTCCATTTGCTCCTTTAACTCCCATTGACCCTTTATTCAACACGTATGTAATTTAAAAGAACCCTACAAACTCCCCTCCTGTCCCCCTGGCTAATCCTATGGAGTGAAAAGGAAAAGGAGGACAATCTTATACGGTTGTTTATCTCAAAAAGTTTTCCCCAAAATTGTATAAAATTTTGACAGAGCTCGTGTACTAGATGGAAAAGATCCAATGATATATAGTCGTATAGATAGCTCACCTATATGTAAATCAGACGACTAAAAGCACTATGTCGTCTATTACCATAATTTCTCTACAATTATACACTCAGTCGCTGCTTACGATGGCTTTTCAGAATGTAGTGTTCAATTTTTAGGCTATATCCTTCGAGCATATCTACTAGTACTTCTACTTAAGTGGAACCATATTGAAAAACTATTAGTTTTGTTAAAAAAATTAATCATAAAAAGTTATGCATGGTTTAAAACATATAATGCAACCAGATATCAATTTTTTTAAGCCATATACGAGGTTTGTCAAAAAATATGATTTTTTGTTGAAGTAAAGTACCTCTCTTTTTGACAAACCTCGTATACGACTATTAAAATTTGATATCCGATGGTTGTATTTTAGGTTTTAGATCATGCTTGACTTTTTATGATGAATAACTTTTTCATATGACGTAGACAGTTGGTGTTTTTTTATAATATCCTAAATGTTTAGGCTAGTGACAGCTTATCATTCACAGGTACTTTCTAGAGATGTTGATCTTGCGACTTACACTTTTTAGAAAATATTTCCAAATATTATTTTTTCTGAAGTATTGTTGAACTGGAAATGGGGTAGAAAGCCAATATGCATATTGTATCAATGGAACAATATGCAACTCTATGAGCGCAGCCATTTTTATTACTCATCTCACTCTTTCATTCAGGACCGATTCCACCGTTGTGTTAAACGACGATTAAAATGACGTTGTTAATATAATAGTATATTATGCAACGATCATGTAATGATGGTTATTAATACACGAGCATTAACCGGGATACGAAACGAGCCAAAGGCGAGTTTCGTATGGTTTATGCGAGTGTTTTAATAACCATTACATGAGAGTTGCATACGCTATTTTTTCTACACCCGATAAATAATCAAGACCTATAAATATTCTATTTATATTGGCATTGAACACAATAACAGTAATTACTCGTATTTCTATAAAAAATTCTACAAAATTGTAATTAATGGTATTACCTTGGGTATTGGTATTACCACAGATTTTTGGGGCAAAATATTTTGTACTGCATTTTCTCCTTTCTCCGATATGTGTGGAGGAGTCTTCTATATCGCTGATATCAGACATTTTAATATTATAATTATCGAAGTTTAGCTATCTACGAAAATTTAATACGTTTTGACAACTAAAACAATTACATAGGAATTTAGGACAAACGTCAAACATCATGCTTGATTGAAAAATTGTAGGTTTCTATTGATTAAAAATCTGTATCATAATGAAAAATCTGTATCATAATGGGTATCATTATGAAACGGATTATGGGCATATAAGTGCATTATTATAATACGGGTGTAGAAAAAAATGGTTTTAAAACACATTTTTGCTAAATTGATTATGATTAACAAGCACTCGCAGAACGACCCGCTGTGAGCAATCTATATAACGAAATTTGTATCATTGACCCTCCCAGGGTTGCCATATCTAATCTGTCAGTTCTCACTTGTCAGCATTTTGACAGGTCTAATTGATTTCAATTATCTTAAATTTTCTGTGCCTGATATGCAGTTTGTTTATCTTATTAAATTTTTATAAAAACGTAGAATTAATTTAATTTCTAGAATACAACTAAAAATAATAACACGATAATTCCGAAACGTTTGAAAAATGGGAAATAGGTCATCACTCCTGTTGCGCGAAGAAGAAATAGCTCAAATCCAAACCGAAACAGGATGTAAGTTTTTCATTGTTGTTCGAAGTTGTACATTGTACTTTATTAATAAGATTAATTTTCATACATACAAATGATTTTTAATTCTTTATAGTTCTCACAATTCTAAGTTAAAGTGTGATTATTTTTTAGTCACACCAAATCAAATTGAGAGATTGTATTCAAGGTTTACTTCTCTCGATAGGGGAGACTGTGGGACCTTGAGCAGAGATGATTTTTTGCGTATTCCCGAACTAGCCATTAATCCACTTGGCGAAAGAATTGTTAATTCATTTTTTCAAAGTGACGATTTTAATGATAGGGTCAATTTCAGGCAATTTATGCAAGTTCTTGCACACTTTATACCTATCAAAAAGAACAAAGAGAATCGGCTGAATACCAGGGAAGAAAAATTAAGATGTTAGTAACGATTATAGTTAAATCAATTTTTTTTTGTTTATAAGTTTGTAATATTTTTAGTTGCTTTTAAAATGTACGATCTAGACAATGATGACATGATTTCGAAGGATGAATTACTGGCAATATTACATATGATGGTCGGAACTAACATCAGCGAAGAGCAATTAAACAGCATAGCTGAAAGAACAATTGTAGAAGCTGATGAAGATGGTGACCAAATGATTTCTTTTGAAGAGTTTTGTAAGGCTTTACAAAGAACTGATGTCGAACAGAAAATGAGCATTAGATTCTTAAATTAAAATATATTACTAATAAAATTATTTGGTTATGATTACTTGTGGAAATATTTAAAATTAAGTATTTGTTAATGATTATAACCTCAAATGGTTAGGGCTGTAATTAGTATAACGAATTTGTTTGATGTAGTTTTACTTGTTAGATTTAGAAATAAAGAGTTGTTTGTTTAAAATTTGTATAATTTAATATCGAAAACAAAATTATATTTCAGCGATTTGTCAAAATGTTGACAGTTTAAGATATGGCAATCCTGTTGTCATCCTGTCATTGACGAGGTCAATGATGTTTATAGTTATATAGATCGCTCAAAGCGAGTGTTTAAAAACTTGACAATCTGACACCACGAACAGCATTCAATCAAAAGGAATAGAAAGACATCATGGTTATTAAAAATTGACAATTTACAAGTTTGGATGTATTTGAATTTAATGTTATTGAGGGTAATAAATCACAATAATTGCGAATTTGTAGATATTTTTTGAAATACGAAAACTTGATACTTGCATCTGTAGGGACCAATGACTGGAGGGTACCCGAATGCCAATTTACATGTTGTACTATTAGAACAAGGTGCGACTCGATGGGCGCAGCCATTTTTATTGTTCATCTCACTCGGGACTATTTATAATAACCATTTTCTGTTTCACATTGTTATTGTTCAATCCACAAGCTGGTGGATCAGACAATAACAATGTGAAATAGAAACTGGCTATTTTAAATACTCCCGAGTGAGATAAAAAATAACCTATCGTCGCACATCAAGTCTATTGACAAGCATTCTACCCCACTCCAGTTCATTGATTAATACTCATCAGTGGTAGTGGATTTTATTTGTTGCACTAGTGTTACACTCGACACTGTATTAGAACTGTCATACTTGTCAAATATTTGAAGCTACACTGAACGAATCAAATACGATTAGTGTAGAAAACTTACACCTAGTGCAACAAATAAAATCCCCAAAACTCACCGCGCCTTGTACATTCAAGATGGCCGCTGCCACAAAATGGCGGCTTATATTTAATTGTTCAACCCCCTCAATATGGGTATCAGATAAAAAGGCTAGACTAGTACAATATAGTAACATCATAAAAAAACAAATTAAAAATGATCGCCACCACAAAATGGCGGATTTCATGTTTTACTTCTTTTTTTTGTTAACCGATTGATCTGAAATTTGATACAAACCTTTAATTCTCATAAAAACATAATTATGTACATTAAGATCATTGTAAATTCAAGATGGAACCGCTACAAAATGGCGGATTAATTTTTTTCAACTCCCTCAATATGGGTATCAAATCAAAGGGATTGACTAGTAGAATACAGTACATTGTAAAAAACAAATTAAAGATGGCTGATTGATCTGAAATTTACTACAAACTTTAAGTTGTTATGACAAACACAATAATGTATATTAGTAACATTGCAAATTCAAGATGGCCGCCGCTACAAAATGGCTGATTATATATATTTTTTCAATCCCCTTAATATGGGTATCAAATGAAAGGGCTTGACTAGTAGAATGGAGTATACTATAAAATACAAATTAAAGATGGCTGCCAACACAAAATGGCGGAATACATTTTTTTCGACCCCTTCAATATGGGTATCAAATGAAAGGGCTTGATTAGTAGAATACAATACATCATAAAATATAAATTAAAAATGGCGGATTTCATATTTTACCCTCTTTCTGTTAACTGATTGATCTGATATTTATAACATACCTGTAGTTCTGATGTTAATACAATTACGTAAATTTAGTATCATTGTTAATTCAAGATGGCCGCTGCCACAAAATGGCCTATTACATTTTTTTAAACCCACTCAATATGGGTATCAAATGAAAGAGCTTGATTAGTAGAACATAATACATCATAAAATATAAATTAAAAATGGCTACCATCACAAAATGGCGTATTTCATATTTTACCCTTTTTGTGTTAACTGATTGATCTGATATTTAATACATACCTGTAGTTCTGATGTTAATACAATTACTTATATTTAGTATCATTGTTAATTCAAGATGGCCGCTGCCACAAAATGGCATATTACATTTTTTTAAACCCACTCAATATGGGTATCAAATGAAAGAGCTTGATTAGTAGAATACAATACATCATGAAATATAAATTAAAAATGGCCACCATCACAAAATGGCGGATTTCATATTTTACCCTCTTTCTGTTAACTGATTGATCTGATATTTGATACATACCTTTATTTCTGATGTTAATACAATTATGTATATTTAATATCATTGTTAATTCAAGATGGCTGCCGCTAAAAAAAGGCGTTTTTTTTTTCAACCTCCACTATATGGGTATCAAATGAAAAGGCTTGATTATTAGAATACAGTAATTTATAGAAAAACAAATTAAAGATGGCCGCCACCATAAATTAGCGAATTTCATATTTTACCCACTTCTTGTTGACCGATTGATGATTGTTCACAATACAATAATATATATTCAATATTATTGTGAGTTCAAGATGGCCGTCATTATAAAATGGCGAATTGCATTTTATTTTCCAATCCCCTCAAATATGTGTATCAAATGAAAGGGATTGACTAGTAGAATACAGTACATTATAAGAAAACAAATTAAAGATAACCGTCATCACAAAATGGCGGATTTAATAGTTGCACAATGTCCACATAGCACCAATCTGGAAAGTTCTTCATGGAAATCAATTAAAACAACAAAATAATTGTAAAAAACATGTATTGAGTTGCAAAAATAGAAAATATATTCATTAAATGAAGTAAAAATAAATAAAAAAAAAATCACTAGTGGAAAATATTAATTTGAATTCTTAAAAGCTAAATATCATCGAAAATCTCAAGCTATATCACATATTATGCATTTTGTAAAATCGCAGTGATCAGTGTATAAAAATATTTAAAAATTGCTCAAAAATTACATTAATAAGGTAACATTTTCCTCGATACATACTCAGTAATAATAATCATAAATATCTTTGGTTTTTAGTCATTTGGCTTCAAGTTTGTACTATTTAATAGTGATCAAAATAAATGTCTACAGATCAATAATAGAAATAGTTAACGAATTGAAAGGAAAGTCTAAGAAAATTTGAGAAAAGAAGGCTCGAACCACTTCGAATTTCCCTTAAAAAGTATTCTAAAATTTCTAAAAAACTTTGTAGAAACTGAATTAAATATTAAAACAAAATTTTCACAAATCTATTCGAACGTCTTTGGCAGTAAACAAATTTAAAAACTATTGAGTGAAGGAGACATGCTGTAGATTAATGTTAAAGAGAACAATCATGCGCAGCAACAATACCAAAAAGGCCCAAGTCTATATCTCTATTGTTAGTGATCAGATTTATGTGTAACAAACGGAATTGTGAAGAAGAAATGTCGTAGATTATTGTTAAAGGTAAAAACCATGCGCAGCAAGAAGGCCAAAATGACACAAATCTATATCTCCGTTACTATGAATCAGATATATGTAATAAATGGAATTATGAAGAAGAAATGTCGTAGATTAATCTTAAAGACAAAAATCTTGCTCAGAAACTCAAGACAAACGGACTTGTAAAGAAGAAATGTCGTAGATTAATGTTAAAGAGAACAATCATGCGCAGCAACAATACCAAAAGGGCCCAAGTCTATATCTCTGTTGTTAGTGATCAGATTTATATGTAACAAACGGAATTGTGAAGAAGAAATGTCGTAGATTATTGTTAAAGGTAAAAACCATGCGCAGCAAGAAGGCCAAATTGACACAAATCTATATCTCCGTTACTATGAATCAGATATATGTAATAAATGGAATTATGAAGAAGAAGTGTCGTAGATTAATCTTAAAGACAAAAATCTTGCTCAGAAACTCAAGACAAACGGAATTGTAAAGAAGAAATGTCGTAGATTAATGTTAAAGAGAACAATCATGCGCAGCAACAATACCAAAAGGGCCCAAGTCTATATCTCTGTTGTTAGTGATCAGATTTATATGTAACAAACGGAATTGTGAAGAAAAAATGTCATAGATTAATGTTAAAGGTAAAAATCATGCGCAGCAACAATGTCAAAAGGACCCAAGTTTATATCTTCTTTGTTATTGATTAGATTTATATGTAACAAACGGAATTACGAACGATTAATGTTAAAGAGAAAAATTTAATTGATTATTTCTCAGTACTAAATAACTGAGCATGTATCAGGTGTCTTTTTTTTAAAGAATATAACAAATTAATTAAGGTTAATAACAACAATTGGTAATCGCTAAAATTTTAAACATTTCTGGCAGTAACTTTTGGTGAAAATTAAGCGAAAGATTTGAAGAGTTTATCCCGCATATTAAATAACCAACTAAGCGTAAAACATAAAGAAATAAGTAACTCAAATTCGGTAACGACATTTTCGAATGTATTTGATTATTAGGACACAACCATATCATTTTTTTTTAATAGAAAAAGTTATAAATTGTAAAAAAAGCACCAAAGTTTTATATGTAACTGGTTTTGTTCAATAATCAATCACATCAGTTGTAAAAATGCAAAAATAAATATTAGATCAATCACTTTTTTATTATTATACACAGAATTCTGTCATTTATATATATACATATATATACACCAACTTCCGAATTTGCAAATAGGTGATTAAAGACTTCTCATTCCGTGAAATAAATGACAGCATTCTGTGACTCATGCGCAATAAAATAAATATTAAATTTCAATTAATCGAAATATATCGAAAGAAGATACTCAAAATTTATTTAATAATGAACGTTTTCCAAAATTTTGCACAAACTAACTTTAGTGTAAGAAATTAAAAAGTTTATATATTAATAAATGACGATATTTGTGTACTTAACATTATTATGATAATTTCAGTTTTGGGATAATACGAATCTTTTATAGATATCACAGAAATGTTGTCTTAAACGATAAAGTGGGATTATCACAACAAAAAATAATAATAAAAAAAAAAAACGTAATAAAAAACGGGAACATTGACATATCAAATATATAAAAAATAATACTTGCAGCACTCCTATAAGGTAACGTTAACCGTAGTTGTATTGACTTTCACTTTCGCTTTGTTAGCCCTAATCGGCGGTTTGAGGCCGTAATATTTCGGTATTGCTGGGATACATTTTAAAATTCCCGGAAAACCGGGCGTTGTGGAGTAACTCGAAATGTTTTGGGTGGTTTGGTAAATCAGAAGTTCTTCTAAATCGCTTTCTCTAAAACAAATACCGACAATTCGTTCATATTTTTATACTTTTTAATACAAAACAGCGTGTTCCAAAAATCATGCACAGCGGCAAGAAGGACCCAAGTGTAACAAACGGATTTGTGAAAAGGAAATGTCGTAGATTAATGTTAAAGAGAAAAATTGCGGGCAGAAAGAATGCCAAAAGGACCAAAGTCTATATTTGCCGCCAGGATTGCCGGAATACTTGTAGTACGATCTAAAAATATATATTTTATCTTAAAATTACGAAATTTATTAATTTTAAATCGAACGAGGCTAGAAAAAACCAATTTAATATTAGTTCTTCAAATTGGCGCCCAACGTGGGGCGAAAATTTGGGCCAAAGTCGATATCTCCGTTACTATTGATCAGATTAATGTGTAACAAACGGAAGTGTGAAGAAGATTAATAATAAATAGAAAAATCATGCGCAGCAACAATGCCAAAAATACCCAACTCTATATCTCTGCTATTATTGATCCAATTCAAACAGGAAAAACATCGTTGTGTAGGAGACGCGGTATATATTAAAAGTAAAAGACAATTTTGTAAAAATGTATCACATACTCAAAGATATTTAATTGTAAAAACTTACCTGGCATGTTCCAAAAACTCGTGAAACAAATGCGACGGTATCTGACCAGGTTTCTCAGCTTTATCCACATACAAATCGGTTTCTCTATTATAAAGATATAAAAAGTCGTTCAGCTGTTTAGCTATAACAGCCGCTCTATCTTTATAGTCTAATTTTTGGCTTGGCGTCTACAAAACAAACACTTTTACTACTTTGATTTAATTTCATACTATTTTTCGTTACCTTGACGCTAAAAGGGGTACGCAAATAGTTCGACGCCTTCTGTAAAAATTTTAATACGATATCGATGTGATCGTGATCCGGCCCCGCTACGATTCTTCGTAAAATGCAGCCCAAGTAATGGCTGAATGTGCTTCTCGCTTCCGATTGACTAAAAAAAGAATACGAGGCGTCATTGGAAAAAAGAATTTAAAATACCTTTCAAACGAGGTGTCATTTAGGAATTAAAGGAAATAAAACTTATGATGAGACGTTTCGTGCAGACACCCCACCTCATTCTATAACAATAAAAACTTACGTAATTCGCTTTCCATTTTGCAACATATCGACGATTTTCTTTTTTATTTCCAAGCATTGCGTTTCCCTCGATATTTTTAACGGTCCCAGCGCGGATTTGTGCCCTTGACTCAACATCCTTTCGTATCTATCCTGACGCGTATTTGTCATCACATTCCTATTAGATTCTGGATCGAAATAATAAATTATTAAAGCTTCGATAGATTTTCATTAAAATAATATCAATACCTTTGTAACCGTCGACGGATAAATCTCGTTTGCGGATGCCTTGCTTGGAACGAGCGACCGATTTTTCTACGGGAGGTTGTAAAGAAATGTCCGGATAAAAATGCGTGTACAACAAGAAATTGTAATTGTGTTGACCGTTTATGCAAAAATTGCCGCCAGAATTGCCGGATAATGGAATACCAGTAGTACGATCTAAAAATGTATATATTATTTTAAAATTACGAAATTTATAAATTTTAAATCGTCATATCTACGAATGAGGCTAAAAAAAACCTCTGTTTAATTTAATATTAGTTCTACAAATTGGCGCGCAACGTGGGGCTAAATTTGACAGCTGTAGGAGTAATAGAAACAAGACGGCAAGGAACGTTAAGATAATTTTTCTAGTAACTGTAATACACAAATCCTTGCGGGTTTGTTGTGCAAGAAGAGTAATTTCAAGATTAAAGTCGAAATAACGAACTTAAAATAGAAATTTTGAATTTAAAGTCAAAATTTCGAGATTAAAGTCGAAAGTTCGAGTTTAAAGTAAAAAATTCATGTTTAAAGACGAAATTCTGAGTTTAAAGTTAAAATTTCAAGATTTCCCATTGAAATTCCGAGTTTAAAGTCGAAATTTCAAGAATAAAATCGAAATTTAAAGAATAAAGTCGAAAATTCCTAGTTTGAAGTTGAAATTAAGAGATAAGAGTCGAAATTTTGAAATTTCAATTAAAATTTCAAGATTTCCCATCGAAATTCCGAATTTTAAGTAAAAATTTTGAGTTTAAACTCGAAATTCCAAGATTAAAGTCGAAATTTCGAGAATAAAGTCGAAGTTTCTAGTTAAAAGTCGAAATTCCGACTAAAAATCGTAATTTTGAGAAAAAAGGTCGAAATTTCTAGATAAAGTACGAAATTTCGAGATTAAAGTGAAAAAAAAAATTAAATTTGAAGTAGAAATTTCGAGTTTAAAGTCGAAATTTCAAGATTAAAGTCGAAATTTCGAGTTCAAAGACAAAGTTCCGAACTTAAAGTGGAAATTTTTAAGATTGAAGTCGAAAATTTCAAGATTAAAGTCGAAAATTCCTAGTTTAAAGTAAAATCTTCCGAGTTTTAAGTCAAATCTTCCGAGTTTTAAGTCAAATCTTCCGAGTTTAAAGTCAAATCTTCGAGTTTAAAGTCAAATCTTTCAGTTTAAAGTCAAATCTTCGAGTTTAAAGTTGTAATTCCGAGATTAAAGTCGAAATTTCGAGATTAAAGACGAAGTTGAGAATTTAAAGTGAAAATTTCGAGATTAAAGTCGAAAATCTTAGTTTAAAGTTGAAATTTAGAGATAACAGTCGAAATTTCGAGATTAAAGTTGAAATTTCAAGATTAAAGTCGAAATTTCGAGAATAAAGTAGAAGTTCCGAGTATAAAGTCGAAATTTCGAGTTAAAAATTGAAATTTCGAGATGAAGGTTGAAATTTCGAGATTAGAGTAGAAAAAATTTCAAATTTAAAGTAGAAATTTGGAGTTCAAAGTCAAATCTTAAGAGTTTAAAGTCAAATCTTCCGAGTTTAAAGTCAAATCTTCCGAGTTTAAAGTCAAATCTTCCGAGTTTAAAGTCAATCTTCGAGTTTAAAGTCAAATCTTTCAGTTTAAAGTAAAATCTTCGAGTTTAAAGTTGTAATTCCGAGATTAGAGTCGAAATTTCAAGATTAAAGTCGAAATTTCGAGATTAAAGACGAAGTTGCGAATTTAAAGTGAAAATTTCGAGATTAAAGTCGAAAATCTTAGTTTAAAGTTGAAATTTAGAGATAAGAATCGAAATTTCGAGATTAAAGTTGAAATTTCAAGATTAAAAGTCGAAATTTCGAGAATAAAGTCGAAATTTCGAGATTAAAGTTGAAATTTCAAGATTAAAGTCGAAATTTCGAGTTAAAAATTGAAATTTCGAGATAAAGGTTGAAATTTCGAGATTAAAGTAGAAAAAATTTCGAATTTAAAGTAGAAATTTGGAGTTCAAAGTCAAATCTTCCGAGTTTAAAGTCAAATCTTCCGAGTTTAAAGTCAAATCTACGAGTTTAAAGTCAAATCTTTCAGTTTAAAGTCAAATCTTCGAGTTTAAAGTTGTAATTCCGAAATTAGAGTCGAAATTTCAAGATTAAAGTCGAAATTTCGAGATTAAAGACGAAGTTGCGAATTTAAAGTGAAAATTTCGAGATTAAAGTCGAAAATCCTAGTTTAAAGTTGAAATTTAGAGATAAGAGTCGAAATTCCGAGTTTAAAGTAAAAATTTCGAGTTTAGAGTCGAAATTTAAAGATTAAAGTCAAAATTTCAAGTATAAAGTAGAATTTTCTAGTTAAAAATACAAGTTTCGAGATGAAGGTCGAAATTTTGAGATTAAAGTCGAAAACAATCTCATAAAAAATAAAATAATGAAAAAAGTATAGAAAAACTTGAAGTATAAAGAAAAACCGACAAAAACAAAAAAAAAACATTCAATTTTTTTATTCTTATAGAATGCCATTTGAAACACAACCCTTAGTATGATAACGGAATAGTTGTTCCTTGCTCAGAGTGAAAACACTACAAATTGGCGCACAACGTGGGGCAAAAATTTGGCAGCAGAAAGTGACGAAAACAGAACATCTTTTGCAATAGCAACAAGTGTCAAAACGATCCACTTTCTGTAACCAGCTCGTAACATAAATAACTATTACACCTATATTATCGTATATTAAAAAAATATTTTACCTAAATATTGTGAATATTTCGCCCAGCTATCAGCAGATGGAAATATCCTAACGAATCCGCCTCGTCTTTTAAACTGAGCCGAAGCATGTCGAATGATTCGCGCCTCTTCAGGCGTACAAGGAAGAGGAGATCTACTAACAGTATTAGCAGTCAACGAGTGTTTTTTTAATAAACTATTAGTACTCAAACCATCGGCTGATTGGACTCTTCGACACTACAAAATACAAAGTAATTGTTCGGTGTTTCAATACTAAATAATTGACAACTTACATTACTCAAACTAGCTTTTGTGTTTGAAATTTTATTGCTCTCTTGTGTTGGTATTCGCACAGTAGGATCGACTGCTGGTATTCCAATTAGAGACAAAAGATCAGCCAACATGGCCGATTTTAATCTCACATCTAATGGACTATCACAATTTAATGACGGTGATAAATTCACCTCCAATAACCAAGGTTTTAAATTCTTGTCAATAAGTATGTCAAATCCATAAAGCTCTACGAAATGATATGTATTAAAGTAACTATTGTTCGAGATGTAGATGAGCAATAAAACTGTGTCCCTTAAAAAATTCCCAAGTCCTGAATAAAATTTTAAAATGTAGTTTTCAAAATTATATTTCTACACATTTTGAGATACATATATCAATTAGTTTGGAAATGGCGATCAAATAAAAGCAACAATGTAAATTGTTAAAAAGAAATCTAAAATCCCCCAAGTTAATAACGGACCAGGGTGAAAACACTACAAATTGGCGCACAACGTGGGGCGAAAATTTGGCAGCAGAAAGTGACGGAAGCAGGACATCTTTCGCAATAACAACAAATGTCAAAATTTGAAGCAAATCACAGAGATTTGAGATTTGCAATTGTATGCTTTAACATTTATTTTTTGAACAATAAAAAAATCGACTCCCAGAATCAAAAAAAGCTTTAGAGGACAAGCATTTTTTGGATCTAAGCAAACTTGAGAATCTTTTATTGTTAGCGCTGATAATAATTGTTTGATTGAGAAAAGGTCGACGTGTTTCTGTAAGTGAAATTATTAGTTGATAGCGGATCTGAAGCAGAGAAGATTGTTTTTTTATTTAAATGGAATGTCAACTATGAAAAGTAGTTTCACTACTCTAAAATAAAAGTTCAAAAAACTTACCAAAACAGTTGTTAAAGTTGGGTACGAACATTTTACAAGCGGATATCACAGAATTAGCACACGAAAGACACGCTTTGATTATCATATCTTCTATTTGAGACATAAGTAAAGCTGTATCTTTTCCTTCGGATTTCAAATGTCTCAATAAAGCACTTAGTGTCCATTTATGACCGACGTTTTCGGCCGAGGGATCGTCTGATCTAGAATAAAATAGAATATCACACCTAGAGTATTCGATTCTTTTATATATATGGACGTAACAATAATATAAAAAAAAATCAAAAAACAAAATTTAAATAAAAAAAAATAGTTATAAAATTTTTCGAAAAAAAAAAATTCAAAAAAAAAAAAATAAGAAAACCTATTAACAATTTTTAAGAAAAAAAATTTCAAAAAAGCAAACATAATTTTCAAAAAAAAAATAAACTTCCAAAAGAACTCAAAAAACAAAATTAAAAAAAAAAAATAAAAAAACAATTTTTCAAAAAAGTTCAAAAAAATTTTTTCAAAAAAAAAAAAAATTAAAAAAAAATTTCGAAAAAAAAAATTTCCAAAAAAAAATTAAGAAACCTATCAAAAATTTTTAAGAAAAACAAAATTTCAAAAAAAGAAACAAAATGTTAAAAAAAGAAACTTTCAAAAGAACTCAAAAACAAAATTTAAAAATAAGAAATTAAAAAAAAAAACAATTTTCAATAAACAAGTTTAAAAAAAAAATAAAAAACTTCCTATAGAAAAAAAAGAACATATTTAAAAAAAAACTTACAAAAGAACTCAACAAAAATCAAAAAACAAAATTAAAAAAAAAATATTTCGAAAAAGTTCAAAAAAAAAATTTAAAAAACAATTTTCAATAAAAAAGTTTCAAAAAAATTAAAAAACTTTCCAAAAAAATTAAAAAACTTTCCAAAAAAATTAAAAAAACTTTCCAAAAAAATTAAAAACTTTCAAAAGAAGAAAAGCGAAAATATTTTTAAAAAAAACTGACAAAATTCAATAAAACAAGATTTAAAAAAAATTAAAAAACTTTAAAAAGAAAATAAAGCAAACATATTTTCTAAAAAAAAAAAAAAAACTTTCAAAAAAACGAAAAATTTCAAAAAATATTTTCGAAAAAGTTCAAAAAAACACTTATTTCTGTTAAAATTACCCCAAATTTGATCTGAAAATTTTATTTTCTAGCCTTATGAACAACTCAGCGGTGACTTTTAAAAAACCAGTTTGTAGAGAATTTAAAGAGGAATTTAATGATGCAAACCACTTCTTCCTAGTTGAAACGATAGTCACGTTATAGAGAATGAAAGTGAGAGAGTGAGAGTGGAGTGAGAGTGGAGTAAGAGTGGAGTAAGAGTGGAGGGAGAGTGGAGTGAGAGTGGAAAAATAATTTTCAAGAAACAAAATTAAAAAAAAAATAAAAACTCAAAAATTTTAAAATATTTTTTTCAAGTTTTTGATAAGTTTTTGAATTTTTTTTAATGTTTTTTTTTGACCATTTTTTTTTCTTCAAAATTTTAAATTTTGTTTAATGAAAGTTTTTCGAAAAATTTTTAAACGAAAATTTTATTTTTTGAAATTTTTTTTCGATTCTTTGAATTTTCATAAAAAAAACTTTCAAAAGAACTCAAAAAAAAATTCAATATAACAAGATTAAAAATTTTTTTCGAAAAAAAAAAAAAAAAAATAAAAATAAAACAATTCAAAAAAATAAAAAAAAAAAATTTTCAAAAATTTTTTTTTTTGAAAAATTAAAAAATTTTTGAAAAATTAAAAAAAACTCAAAAAATTTTTTTTTTATTTTTTGATAGGTTTTTTAATTTTTTTTTATTTTTTTATTTTTTTTTTTAAATTTTGTTTAATGAAAGTTTTTTTTTTCAATTTTTTTTTTGAAAATGTTTTTGATTTTAATAATTTTTTTTGAAAATTTATATCCATAATTAAAATTAACCAAATTATTACTTACTTGACATAATCGCTATGGTATTTATTTATGCTATAATTACACAAGTGCATACAAGGATTCCACAACTGCTTATGACTAGAATCGTATTTGACAGTAGCAAATCTCACCAAACCTTCTTCGTAAATATATATTAGCAGCGGATCGAAACTAGTAACGACCACGTATAATCGTAAATCACATTTATGACCAGCCACCAATAGCGGATTAGAAATATATTTGGCAACTACTACAGGTTCTTCTAGAGGCACTTGATTCGGAGACTCGACAATAAAAATACCTAAAAATTAGTCAATGAACAAAAATATTTTTTTGCTACATTGCATAAATACCTCTGCCCCTACTCGAAGCAACTGGTTTAACTATCCAAGGTCCTTTAATCCTATGATGAGTTGAACACAATTCGCGATATTCTATTGGCATAACGAAAGTTTGTGGAATAAAATCAAAATGCTTGAATCCCTTCGTGTGCTGCATCCGTTCTATGTTTTTATACAAACGATCCTTTCTAGTTAATTCGTAGGACCTTGGAAAATGATTGACTCGCTGATGTGAAGCCAGAGACCTAATTGTACCTGGAAAAAATTAACCTTCAGAAAGGTCCATTTCTAATAAAAGTCTGAAATAGATAGGGTCACTATTTAAATTTGTAGAATGATTCAAAGTATCTCGAAGGCGACATCCATGTAGATATTTGTAACGTTAATCAATCACCAAGACCACAATTCTTGAAATATTCACAAGAAATTTTAGTGAGACCTTCAGAAAATTAAACATTCGTTCAATTTACGATCCAGAATCAACTAATAATGTGCTGTAACGTATCATACCGCCGTTAGGCAACACGGTATATAATTAGATGTATTGTGTGAGTAAACACAACCTTATTTGTTGAAAAATGATAAATAAATATAACAATAAAAAGTATTTTGAAGCAGATGACTAGGTAGAAATCACAAATAGTAGAAAACAATATTAATTTACTAAAATTAATATACATACCAAAGTTAAATAGCAAAATCTCTTCACCATGTAACACGGTCTCATATTTACTAACTTTTTCTAAAAAGAAACAGAATATTTTAAAAGTTGTACACTAGAAAAGATCTGACACTTGACGGTTTAAAATATAAGTACTACTGTTTGTGATTTCTGCTTATTTGAGAAATTTGTTATTCAAATGTATATTTAACCTGGTTTTGGGTGAGATCCAGTCCACAACAAATTGAAATCCATCGAATTCGGAGCCACCTCTGTAATTCCATGGCAATCTAACAGTTTGGAAAGAAGTTTCGATTCTGCTTGAAGGACTTTGTAAGTTATTCGTAATTTATATCCCGGCTTAGATTGTATTGACGAGTCGGACGCGTTGGCTAGGGCTGAACTTCTAAAGAGAAGTACCGTATTTTTGGAACCCAGCAATCCTCCTGTTAACCAAGATTCCTCTGATGCCACAGATGTTTCATCCAGAGAGATAATGGCTGAATTGCTATAAGTAAATAATGGTACAGGCGGTTAGTTAGAGCGCAATGGAAATTGAAGACAATGTTGTGTGGAAAGAAGTCAGAAGAAATCTGGAAAGATCCCACAAAAAGAAATACAATACAATGTCACAATAAGATAATTTGAGGAGATCTTTAGAATAGTCTATTCTAATAAAAATGAAAATCTGAAGTAAACTTGTGGAATGATTCATTTTTCGATTTTTGAATTTTTGCATTTTTCCTTTTTCATTTTTTTTGCATTTTTGGATCATTGGATTTTTAGATTATTTTGAAGTTTTGCATTTTTACATTTTTGAATTTTTTTTGCATTTTTTTGCATTTCATTTGCATTTTTGGATCATTGGAATATTTATTGGATTATTTTTAGATTCTCAGAATTTTAGATTTTTGAATTATTTTGAATTTTTGCATTTTTTTGCATTTTTGGATCATTGGATTTTTAATTTTTTTGAATTATTTTTGAATTTTTGAGATTTTTAGAAAGATGATTTTTAAAGAGATTTTTAGAAAAAGATTTTTAGAGCTTTTAGAGTTTTTTAGATGCAAAAACTGTTGTCATGGCAACAATTGTGATGGCAATGAGTAAACAAAAACTCAAATTCCATAGTGAGAAAACGCTTTTTTGGATTTTTAGAATTTTTGAAATTTTGTAAAAAATATCTTAAAAAATATAATTTTTGTTTTATTTTTTTTAAATTTAAAAAAATTTCTTTGATTTTTTTTGAAAATTTTGAAAATTTTTAATTTTTTGAATTTTTTTTTTTGAAAAAATTTTCCAATTTTTTTTTAATTTTGTTTCGTTTTTTGAATTTTCTTTTGAGTTTTTCTGAAAGTTTTTTTTAAATTTTTTTTTTAAATAATTTATTTTGATTTTTTTTTTTGTTTTTTAAATTTTCTTTTTAAAAAGTTTTTTAATTTTTTTTTTTTAAAAAGTTTTTTGAATTTTTTTTTGATTTGATTTTTTTCAAAAATTGAATTTTTTTTTTTAAATAATTTATTTTGATTTTTTTGTTTTTTAAAGTTTTTTAAATTTTCTTTTTAAAAAGTTTTTAATTTTTTTTTTTTAGTTTTTATATTTTTTTTTGATTTGTTTTTTTTTTGAAAATTAAGTTTTTTTAATTTTTTTTTAGTTTTTTGTTTTTTAATTTTTTTTTTTTTTGAATTTTTTTTTTTGAAAAAATTTTCCAATTTTTTTTTAATTTTGTTTCGTTTTTTGAATTTTCTTTTGAGTTTTTCTGAAAGTTTTTTTTAAATTTTTTTTTAAATAATTTATTTTGATTTTTTTTTTTTGTTTTTTAAATTTTCTTTTTAAAAAGTTTTTTAATTTTTTTTTTTTAAAAAGTTTTTTGAATTTTTTTTGATTTGATTTTTTTCAAAAATTGAATTTTTTTTTTTAAATAATTTATTTTGATTTTTTTGTTTTTTAAAGTTTTTTAAATTTTCTTTTTAAAAAGTTTTTAATTTTTTTTTTTTAGTTTTTATATTTTTTTTTGATTTGTTTTTTTTTTTTGAAAATTAAGTTTTTTTAATTTTTTTTTAGTTTTTTGTTTTTTAATTTTTTTTTTTTTTGAAAAATTTTGTCTAAATTTTTTTAATTTTTTTTTTAAATTGTGCTAAGTTGTTTTTTGAATTATTTTTTAATTACTTCTTTTAGTTTCTTGGAAAGTTTTTGATAGGTTTTTTTTTAAATTTTATTTATTAAGTTTTGTTTTTTGAATTTTTTTACTTTTTAATTTTTTAGATTTTTAGAATTTTTTGAGATTAGATTTTTAGAGATAAATTTTAAATTTTAAATTTTAGAGAAAGAAATTTAGAGATAAATTATTAGAGTTTTAAAGAGAGACTTTTAGAGATATTTTTAGAGAGATTTTTAGAGAATTTTTTAGAAAGAGATGATTTTTAAAGAAATATTTTTATAGAGCTTTTAAGAGAGAGATTTTTAGAGATTTTTTGAGATTTTTAGAGATATTTTTAGAAAGTTTTTAGAGTTTTTTAGAGAGATTTTTAGATGCAAAAACTATTGTCATGGCAACAATTGTGATGGCAATGAGTAAACAAAAACTCAAATTCCATAGTGAGAAAACGCTTTTTTGGATTTTTAGAATTTTTGAAATTTTTTAAAAAATATATCAAAAGTGAACAAAATTTTCAAAAAAAAAAAATTTTAAAAAATATAATTTTTGTTTTATTTTTTTTAAATTTAAAAAAATTTCTTTGATTTTTTTTTTAAATTTTGAAAATTTTTAATTTTTTGAAATTTTTTTTTTTTTTTAAATTTTTCAATTTTTTTTTTTTGAAAAAATTTTCCAATTTTTTTTTAATTTTGTTTCGTTTTTTTAAAATTTTGTTTTTTGAATTTTTTTTTGAGTTTTTCTGAAAGTTTTTTTTAAATAATTTATTATGATTTTTTTTTTTTTAGTTTTTTTAAATTTTTTTTTGATTTGTTTTTTTTTTTCAAAAATTGAATTTTTTTTTAAATATTTGAATATTTAAATATTTATTAAGTTTTGTTTTTTGAATTTTTAAAAAAAAAATTTTTTTTGAAAATTAAGTTTTTTTAATTTTTTTTTAGTTTTTGTTTTTTAATTTTTTTTTTAAAAATTTTGTCTAAATTTTTTTAGAAGATTGATTTTTTTTTAAATTGTGTTGTTGTTTTTTGAATTTTTTTTTTTAATTACTTTTTTTTGTTTCTTGGAAAGTTTTTTGAAAGGTTTTTTTTTTTAATTTTATTTATTAAGTTTTGTTTTTTGAATTTTTTTACTTTTTAATTTTTTAGATTTTTAGAATTTTTTGAGATTTTAGATTTTTAGAGATAAATTTATATTTCTGAAACTCTAATGTATCTGTAACATGTGGAGGGTGGATTATGCTCACGGCACTTAGGCCTCATTGGGCCCACTGTGCATCCTCCTAAGATGATAGGCACCTCCTAGCTTGTGAGCCAGCAAACTTTAATGTAGTTGTTTTGATTGATTCCAGTAATTCATTAAACTTAATAAAAATAGCAAGATATCTGATTTAAATATATAAAAATATTATTAAAATGTCTTATATCCAGTTCTCTTTGGATCTTCTATCTAGAAATATTGGAATATACTGACTATATTAAGATAGAAGCTCCCTAATTTTATTAATATAATTAGGTGATTAAAACCAAATTGGTGTTGATAATGCTTATGAACCATATCAGAAATGAAGTCATAAATATTTAATTATAATTAGAACAATCAAATAAACTAATCAAGGACGAAGGTAGAGATATATGGAGCAATGTTTTAAAATAATATAACCCTAAAAAAATATTTAAATAAGTTCAAACCTGGATTGTTTAAGGATCTGATCGAGGGAGTCTTTGGGGTGGACAGGAATAGTTAAACCAATGTTATTGTTGGAATAGAATTGGGAAAGGTCCAAACAATCCCAAATGGGTTTACTGTCTCCTCTACAATTCAAAATATAATGTCATAAGTAATAAAAATATAAAACACAAGACTTACTCATCTTTAGATCCTACCGAAGTATCAGGTTTACTATCTTTTTTTTTAATAGAATCGTTTGAACTATTAATGCTTCCATATGATGATGATAGCTTATCAGAGGATTTGATCATTTTCTAAATAATATAGTTTTTCTTCTACAAGAAACACTGAAACTGCAAATGATCAAAATTATTAACATGCTTTTTTTGATATTAATAATTTTGCTTGTTCTAATCAACGATAAATTACACATACAAGTATTATTTACTTACATTTTGACTGCTTTACTATGAATTTTAACTACAAAAATTTAAATGGAACATAGTTTTAATGACACCATGTTCCTAAACGTCAAATTTTTTGTAATGTTGACCAGTGTTGCCAATACCGTTGTCAATAAACGCAATGCAGGGTCAATGATATAGATTGTTATATAGATTGATCCCATGTTTTTCAAAATAAAAGCATATGCTTTGAAAAAAAAATGTAATTATTATCTTTTAATATTTTCGAAGTACAATTTAGAAAAAACTGACTCTTAAGGTGGGTCTACATTGCTCCTATTCGTGCCTAATCTATTTAACTATCAATATCATAGACTTGTTTCATTCTTCATTATTTTTTTTGCTACAATTTACATGGCAAGTAATTAGAAACGGCAACAATGCAGTAATTTGGCTATTTTTGACATTTTGACTTTGACATTTGTCAAATGTAAATTGTAAACAATTCCATATTTTGTAGTTGAACAAAAAAGTAATAAAAATACATGAATTGTATCATTAAATTTTGATAAATTTGTTCAATTGAAATTAAAAATTAATATGTTAATAATAATAGATCCATAAGAACACAATTTAATAGTTATGTGAAATGTATGGTTAATATTTTTTTAGTTTTTTGTTTGATATATATTCCTCTAGTAAGAACACAATGTTGTCTAGGAAGAATAAAGATCTGCGAACAATTAAAGAAGGGGTTGTTGGTAAATATGTTAGAAAGGATACTCCCCCTGAAATGCCCAGTAAGTAAATAAATATAATTGTAACTATGATTCATTACCAATCTTTAAATTTTAAATCTAACAAAGACATGTTTGAATCAACACTATTAAAAGCATTCTGATTTTAAAATGAACAATGTAATGAATGTTGATATATTATTTCTAATCCTATATTTAATGTTTTAACAGGTTACTAGTAACTTTTCATGAGGCACAAAAGAAACAATAAAAATTGTCATTCTATCACTGGTTGTGGGATACGAATATTGTTGAACAACTTGTACCCCTTTTCTAACTGTTCCTTCACATTTTTCTAAACAAAGAAATGTTTGTAACAAAAAATATTGATGTTCTATTTTCTATAGTTATAAATGTTTGGACAACTGAGCCGAAAAGGCGTCATTCAAGTCAAAGTCGTTCATCTCTACATTCGAATAACACCATCCCTTCTTCTTCACAGCAGACAGTTCAGAAATTCGGTAATCAAAAGACTTTAATTAGTGATGTTGGGTTAGGAGCTCATGAAGGAAAATATACACCAAGTGCTTCAGTTCCTGACTTGGCTACAAGGTAGATTAAAGCAATACAATCTCCATGTATATGCTAAAACCATTATTTTTTTGTTAAAATTCTTGTCCCCCATTAATCCTCAGTATATGTGCCTTTGAAAATTGGTCAATTTTTAAATACTGTTTTTTCTGCAGGTTTTCAAATCTAAATGTAGGATTAGCTAGAGAGAACAATTTGCCTATCACATTCAGTACGCCTGGAATAAATACTACTCAGCCTATTTATACAAATCAGCCTATGGGTGGTGCATATGATAATTCTGTGGTAGGTTTTTTTAAAGATTATGCTCTAGTTGACATTTTTACTTTTAAAATTTACAAAAGTCTATAAAAATTTATTAAAAATCTATAAAAGTGTCTAAAATATATAAAAGTAGAAAATAAAGCATACAAATTTATAAAAATAAAAAAAAAATCTATAACAATTTATAAAAATCTATAAAAATTAATAAAAATGTATAAACAGTTATAAAGATCTATAAAATTCTCTAAAAATATAAAAAATATATAGAAATATGTAAAAATCTATAAAAATATGTAAAAATCTATAAAAATATGTAAAATCTATAAAAGTTTTTAAAAAATTTATAAACATTAATAAAGATCTATAAAATATGTAAAAATCTATAAAAAATATATAAAAATCTTTAAAAATAACTAAAAATTTATAAAAATGTATAAAAACTATAAAAATTTATAAAAGTTTCTAGAAATTTATAAAAATATAAAAAATCTAAAAATTCATAAAAATATATAAAAAAATAAAAATTTATAAAAACGAAAAAATAAATCAAAAACTTTCTCTAAAAATTTATAAAATTCTATAAAAATTTATAAAAGGTTCTAAAAATTTATAAAAATCTATAAAAACCTATAAAAATCTATAAAATTCTATAAAAATTCATAAAAATCTATAAAAAAGTAAAATTTATAAAAATGAAAAAAAAAAATCAAAAACTTTCTTAAAAATTTATAAAAATCTATACAATTCTATAAAAATTTATAAAAGTGTCTAAAAATTAATAAAAATAGAAAAAAAATCATAAAAATCTATAAAAACCTTTAAAATCTATAAAAATGTATAAACAGTTATAAAAATCTATAAAATTCTATAAAAATTCATAAAATATATAAAAAAGTAAAAATTAAAAAAAAAAAAATTCTATAAAAAATTATAAAATTCTATAAAAATTTATAAAAAATTATAAAATTCTATAAAAATTTATAAAAGTGTCTAAAAATGTATAAAATAAAAAAAATATAAAAATCTATAAAAATATATAAACAGTTATAAAAATCTATAAAATTCATAAAAATCTATAAAAATATGTATCTATAAAAATTTATAAAATCTATAAAAATATATAATAAATTTATAAAAATAGAAAAACAATCATAAAAATATATAAACACTTATAAAAATATGTAAAATCTATAAAAATGTTTAAAAGTCTAAAAATATATGAAAATATGTAAAATCTATAAAAATATATGTATAATAAAGTTATAAAAATAAAAAAACAATCATAAAAATATATAAACACTTATAAAAATCTTTAAAAATATATGAAAATATGTAAAATCTATAAAAATATATAATACATTTATAAAAATTAAAAAACAATCATAAAAATATATAAACATAAAAATCTATAAAAATATATAAAAATTTATAAAAATAGAAAATTAATCATAAAATCTATAAAAAGCTATAAAAATCTATAAAAATATGTAAAAATCTATAAAATATATATAAAAATATTTCAAATGTATAAAAATTTATGTGTCCAAAAATAAATGAAAATAATTATGTAAAAATCTATAAAAAATTTATAAAAATAGAAAAGTAATCATAAAATCTATAAAAATATGTAAAAATCTATAAAAATTTATATAAATATAAAAACTATAAAAAGCTATATTAAAATATATATAAAAATCTATAAAAATATGTAAAAATCTATAAAATATATAAAAATGTTTAAAAGTGTCTAAAAATTCAAAAAAATAGATAAAAAATCATAAAAATTTAAAAAATATAATTATAAAGATCTATAAAAATATGTAAAGATCAATAAAATTTGTAAAAATGTATAAAAAATATATAAAAACAAAAAAATTATAAAAGTATATAAAAATATATGAATATATGTAAAAAAATCTGATGTGTCCAACACATGACTTTCCTATCTAGGTATTACAGGCTTTTTCCGGTTATTTTGGACAATCTATTGCAGCATCTCTATAAATGTTTAGAGGATAAACTAAACATATACATTGTCCACATACATCTACCGCGAAACATTTTTCTATAGATATTCATTGAAAATGAAAATACTGAAAAATTTAAATTTAGCACTTTTCCTACAATTTTTCCATTACGGTCCATTTTAAAAAAATCATGTATAAACAAATATTATAGAGATCGATATCGCAAACAACTTTTATTTCAACAATTTTCATAAAAATCAGAATTTTGCACATTTTGTCAAATTTTTCGAATACGGACCATTTCAGGAAATTTTTACATAAAGCAAAAATTATAGATAATAATATTAGAAGTAACTTTTATTTGAACAATTTTTTTCTTCAAACATAAATAACAGATATATTCCATAAAATATAAAAACGGCCTCCCATAAAGTACCCCCCCAGATGTTCCGACTTTGTCCAAAATCTAATCATTTCACGTCAGGCCGAAATAAAACTTAAGTTTAAAATTTAATGTTTTTTTCTTTATCCATTTTTGAGTTTTCTTCAAATTTCGAAATTTACACATTTTCTCAAATATCTCGAATACGGTCCATTTTAGAGAAATTATCTATAGGATAAGAATTATAGAGAATTATATTACAAACAACTTTTGTTTGAACAATTTTTATAGAAAAAAATATTTTTTTACATTTTGTCAAATTTCGCGAATACGGACCATTTTAGGAAAATTTTGTATATAACAAAAATTATAGATAATAAAATAAGAAGTAACTTTCATTTGAAAAATTTTCTTCCCCAAACGTAAATAACAGATATATTCCATAAAATATAAAAATGACCACCTATAAAGTACCCCCCCAGATGTTCCGACTCTGCCCAAAATCTAATCAGCTCATTAGACGTTGGAACAAAGCTTAAGTTTAAAATTTGGTGTTTTTCCGTGTATCGGTTCATGAGTTATGCGTTATACAGACACACACACACACACAACACACACACACACACACACACATACACACACACAGACACACACACACACACAGACATCATCGCGAAAATAGTCAAAACGGATTCAGGGGACCTCAAAACGTAAAAATCCGTCGAAAACTCGAGGTCGAAAAAAATCATGATTCCTATACTTTCCTTATATCTGTATACAGATAGGAAAGTAAAAATTATAAAAATATGTAAAAATCTATAAAAATTTATAAAAGCGTCTAAAAATTCAGAAAAATATTTATGAAAATATATAAAACTCAATAAAAAATTTATAAAAATATTTAAACATTTATAAAGATTTATAAAATTTGTAAAAATCTAAAAAATATATGAAAATTTATATAAATATATAAAAATCTAGTTTTAACTACAAAGGTTTCTTTTGATATGTCAATTTTTCAAAAAGTTGCATTTGAACAACAAATTTTATTTATACAACATACGAATAAGTTATAACATTTTATTTTAATCATATACATTTACAGAGCAACGCAAATTACGTTGAAATTGATCAAATATATCCACTTAGCCAAGAAAGTAATAACAATTACAGAGAATCACGATATAACAGAACGAATTCGCCGATTTATCAAAACACTAATACAAACGATGCCAATTCAGATTTAACGCCGATCTACAGTAATACGCATTTTAAACAGTATGGAAATTCGACGCAAAGTATCTCTTATGGTGAATCTTTTCCTCATCAATCGAGGCAAAGTATAAATAGATCTGAAAATTCACAAGGTATGCATGTATGAATTATTTTCCTATCAAAACTTGTATTTTATTTTTGTACTGCTAGGTTTTATCTCTCTTTTTGACGTCTGTAAATGTCTGTATGGAAGTGGAACTTATTTGTTGCTAAACAGACGTGATTTTTTTCAGGTCCAACTAAATAGTTTTAGTTAGAAGTGTAATAATATTTAACTGAAGGTTGCAAGATTAAATTGTTTTTGACTAGATGTCTCATTATTAATCTAAAATTATGTTTATTTGTAACTTAGAGTAATCAAGGAAATGTTTTACTCAAAACTGGTCATTAATAGTATCTATTAAATTAAAATTTTGTTTATTAGAACCAGTAATAATAGAATTACTTCGTTCTGAGAATTAATAAAAGAAAAACAAATCTTTAGTAAGTCTTATATGAGTTTATTTAAAATTAGTTTGTAACGGAGCTAACAGGAGAAGTAGTTGCAGTTTATCTTAAATATCTCGAATACGGTCCATTTTAGGAAAATTATGTATAGGATGAAAATTATAAAGAATAATATTACAAGTAACTTTTATTTGAAGAATTTTCTTCTACAAGCGTAAATAACATATATATCATAAAATGTAAAAATAACTCTTTATAAAGTACCCCCCAGATGTTTCGACTCTGTCCAAAATCTAATCAATTCACCTAAAGTTAGAATAAAGCTTAAGTTTAAAATTGGAAGTTTTTCTTTTTATCGGTTTTTGAGTTTTCTTCAAAATTCGAAATTTATACATTTTTTCAAATATCTCGAATACGGTCCATTTTAGGAAAGTTTTGTATGGAACAAAAATTATAGAGAATAATATTACAAGTAACTTTTATTTAAAGAATTTTCTTCTATAAGCGTAAATAACACATATATTTCATAAAATGTCAAAATAACCCTCTATAAAGTACCCCCCAGATGTTCCGACTCTGTCTAAAATCTAATCAATTCACTTAAAGTTGGAATAAAGCTTAAGTTTAAAATTGGAAGTTTTTCTTTTTATCGGTTTTTGAGTTTTCTTCAAAATTCGAAATTTATACATTTTTTCAAATATCTCGAATACGGTCCATTTTAGGAAAATTTTGTATGAAACAAAAATTATAGAGAATCATATTACAAGTAACTTTTATTTGAAGAATTTTCTTCTACAATAACAGCTATATTTCATACAATGTAAAAATAACCCCCTATAAAGTACCCCCCCAGATGTTCCGACTCTGTCTAAAATCTAATCAGTTCACCTCAGGTCAGAATAAAACTTAAGTTTAAAATTGGATGTTTTCTCTTTATCGGTTTTTGATTTTTTTTTTCAAAATTCAAATTTTGCACATTTCCTCAAATATCTCGAATACGGTCCATTTTAGGAAAATTATGTATAGGATAAAAATTATAAAAAATAATATTACTAGTAACTTTTATTTGAAGAATTTTCTTCTGCAAGCGCAAATAACAGATATATTCCTTTTATACAACTTTTGCATTGATGCCAAATCTAGTAGAACATTCTTAACATCCAATTTAACATTAACTAGGTTTTCAAACAAAACGACAATAAAAAAAAATAGACATGACAGATCCTTATGTGTTCCTTAGAATGTCTCATTCACGATATTTGTTTGTAGTTACATCTCCTGTTAACTCTGAGAAGCAGATTTGCTTCTAAATGTTGGATTTTGCAAATTAAAATCCATCTGCGCGACATAGTTTTTAACTACCCTGTATAACACAAAATATTTTCTACCTATCTCCTGTATTGGTTGTCGGGAACTTTTTGAAGAAATTACTAACATCCCTCACCATTAACACACAGTCCACTTACTTTCCACCCTCTCCAATATATAAATATATAGTATCTGCTATGGAAAACCACAGAGATTTCGCATTACTTCGAGAAACAAACGAATAACATCAACGTTGCCGTTGACTCGGTCGCGATACACATACGATACAAACTTTGAACCCTAGGAAAATAAATTAGTATAGCAACAAGAATCATAGGTTTCTCCTAACAATTCAAACCACATCTTTCTCTTCATTTAAGTCTATTTCCGTCACTCTCATTAAAGTAAGCAAATTGAATGTTCAAAATGAATTACAAAGCAATATCGCCATCCCTTCCGTCAAGATCATACGAGCTTCTATTGGCCAATAGAAAGAATCTCGGGCTAGAATTCAGAATCTCTTGATGCTGAACAGAGCAATTTTTAATTTCTTTCTCGCGAGATTCCCGCAACACTCAAATGTTTAAGTTATTTTTGTTTCTTGCACTAATGGTAACTCTCGTCTCTAGCAAACTATATTGGAAGGTTTTCAATGGTTGTATATTTAATTTTTATTGTATGTAGAACAATCTGAAGAACTGCCATTGCCTCCAGGCTGGTCAGTAGACCATACTCTAAGGGGGCGAAAGTATTATATCGATCACAATACGAAAACGACGCATTGGTCGCATCCTTTAGAAAGAGAGGGTTTACCCACCGGTTGGCAGTGCATTCAATCACCAGTATACGGTATTTACTATGTTAAGTAAGTTTTATATAACAAAAAATTGAATTTATATATATAGTGTTTATTTTTTTCTTTAGTCATATTACTAGAAGAGCACAATACGAACATCCTTGCTTGGTACCGTGTTTTAATTATACTAGCGAATCATATCAAAGATACATTCCCCCTAGGCCGACCCATTATCAAACTCACAGCGTCTTAGTTCCTGCCAATCCTTATTTATTAGAAGAGATTCCTCATTGGCTTAATGTTTACTTTAAAAGTAGGTATAAAAATAGAAATAAAAATAAATGAACACCTACTAGACTAATTTTGTTTACAAACATTATTATGAGGAAATCAAGGATGGTTCTAAATAGAATTTTCTTGGGAAAAAGGGGGTATTGTCATTGTTTATTCTTTTTAAATAAAAATCTAACGAATTAAAAGCTTACAGAACTTAATTATGAATTAATTGATTAGTCTAGTAGTGTTTCATCCTGTTTTATTTGTATATTTTTGTGTTGGTTGACTTATAAATTTAATATGAAATTAATTCGTTTGGGGTAAAAATAAATTGTTAACTGGACTTTGATAAGTATGAATGATAGAGCAACTTGTAATAAATACAAAAATCTATACTGAAAAATTAAAATTTTTAGACATTTTCTTAAATATTTCCATTACGGTCCATTTTAGAGAAATGATGTATAGTACAAAAATTATAGAGAATAATATTAGAAGTAACTTTTATTTGAAGAATGTTCTTCTCCAAACTTTAATAACAGATATATTTCATAAAATATAAAAATGACCCCCTATAAAGTACCCTCCAGATGTTCCGACTCTGCCCAAAATTAAATCCGTTCACCGTAGGTTAGTATAAAGCTTAAGTTTAAAATTTGATGTTTTTCTCTGTTTCCAATCATGAATTATCGAGTAAAAATAGTCAAAACGTATTTAGAGAATCAAAAGACGTAAAAATCCGTCAAAAACTAGAGGTAAAAAAAAATAATTTGTATATTTTCCTTATCTGTAAACAGGCAGGAAAGTAATAAGGCTTATGGTTTCTTTCCAAATATCTAAATTTAATCAAATTATATTAATAGAAAAAGAAAATTTTTCTACATTAGCCAAGGGCGTAATTGTTTTCATTCCAGAGGAAAATTCATTGTTTGTTTCTTTTTCCTTCCTATTTATTTTTAAATTGGTCACAAACACGACGCCCGATGTTTTTTGGGTCGCCGAATTCAGCATCGGCGAATACCCTCCGGACACCTGGTGTGCCGGAACCCGGAAGTGGACGTCATCCCCGAGAAATTTGCTGACAGATCGCCAAAAACAACTCGAAAGTCATTGTGGAGGCGTTTTTTGGGGGTACTTAATCTAAATTTCACGTCGAAAACGATCCCCTGAACACCTGGTGCACTAGAACCTGGACCTCATCTCCGTGGGTTTTCCTCAGGGAACTAAAAAAAAAAAAACGAACTGAAAATCGTTTAGGGGGTTTTTTGGGATACCGAAATCTAATGTGGCATTGGCGAACACTCTCTGACACCTGGTGCGCCCAAACCTGGACGTCTTCCTCGGGAAATTTCCTGACAAGATCACCAAAAACAACCCGAAAATCATTGTATGGGCGTTTTTTTGAGTGCTTAATCCAAATGTCACGTCGAGAACGATTCTCTGAACCTGGACCTCATCTCCGTGAGTTTTCCTCACAGAATCGACAAAAAAAAACGAACCAAAAATTGTTATAGGAAGTTTTTTGGGGCACTTAATCTAAATTTTACGTCGAAAACGATCCCCTGAACACCTGGTGCACTAGAACCTGGACCTCATCTCCGTGGGTTTTCCTCAGGGAACTAAAAAAAAACGAACTGAAATTCGTTATGGGGGTTTTTTAGGGTACCGAATTCTATTATGGCATTGGCGAACACCCCCTGACACCTGGTGCGCCCAAACCTGGACGTCTTCCTCGGGAAATTTCCTGACAAGATCACCAAAAACAACCCGAAAATCATTGTATGGGCGTTTTTTTGAGTGTTTAATCCAAATGTCACGTCGAAAACGATTCTCTGAACCTGGACCTCATCTCCGTGAGTTTTCCTCACATAATCGAAAAAAAACGAACCAAAAATTGTTATAGGAAGTTTTTTGGGGCACTTAATCTAAATTTCACGTCGAAAACGATCCCCTGAACACCTGGTGCACTAGAACCTGGACCTCATCTCCGTGGGTTTTCCTCAGGGAACTAAAAAAAAAAAACGAACTGAAATTCGTTATGGGGGTTTTTTAGGGTACCGAATTCTATTATGGCATTGGCGAACACCCCCTGACACCTGGTGCGCCCAAACCTGGACGTCTTCCTCGGGAAATTTCCTGACAAGATCACCAAAAACAACCCGAAAATCATTGTATGGGCGTTTTTTTGAGTGCTTAATCCAAATGTCACGTCGAAAACGATTCTCTGAACCTGGACCTCATCTCCGTGAGGTTTCCTCACAGAATCGACAAAAAAAAAACGAACCAAAAATTGTTATAGGAAGTTTTTTGGGGCACTTAATCTAAATTTTACGTCGAAAACGATCCCCTGAACACCTGGTGCACTAGAACCTGGACCTCATCTCCGTGGGTTTTCTTCAGGGAACTAAAAAAAAAACGAACTGAAATTCGTTATGGGGGTTTTTTAGGGTACCGAATTCTATTATGGCATTGGCGAACACCCCCTGACACCTGGTGCGCCCAAACCTGGACGTCTTCCTCGGGAAATTTCCTGACAAGATCACCAAAAACAACCCGAAAATCATTGTATGGGCGTTTTTTTGAGTGTTTAATCCAAATGTCACGTCGAAAACGATTCTCTGAACCTGGACCTCATCTCCGTGAGTTTTCCTCACAGAATCGACAAAAAAAAACGAACCAAAAATTGTTATAGGAAGTTTTTTGGGGCACTTAATCTAAATTTTACGTCGAAAACGATCCCCTGAACACCTGGTGCACTAGAACCTGGACCTCATCTCCGTGGGTTTTCCTCGGGGAACTAAAAAAAAACGAACTGAAATTCGTTATGGGGGTTTTTTAGGGTACCGAATTCTATTATGGCATTGGCGAACACCCCCTGACACCTGGTGCGCCCAAACCTGGACGTCTTCCTCGGGAAATTTCCTGACAAGATCACCAAAAACAACCCGAAAATCATTGTATGGGCGTTTTTTTGAGTGTTTAATCCAAATGTCACGTCGAAAACGATTCTCTGAACCTGGACCTCATCTCCGTGAGTTTTCCTCACATAATCGAAAAAAAACGAACCAAAAATTGTTATAGGAAGTTTTTTGGGGCACTTAATCTAAATTTCACGTCGAAAACGATCCCCTGAACACCTGGTGCACTAGAACCTGGACCTCATCTCCGTGGGTTTTCCTCAGGGAACTAAAAAAAAAAAACGAACTGAAATTCGTTATGGGGGTTTTTTAGGGTACCGAATTCTATTATGGCATTGGCGAACACCCCCTGACACCTGGTGCGCCCAAACCTGGACGTCTTCCTCGGGAAATTTCCTGACAAGATCACCAAAAACAACCCGAAAATCATTGTATGGGCGTTTTTTTGAGTGCTTAATCCAAATGTCACGTCGAAAACGATTCTCTGAACCTGGACCTCATCTCCGTGAGGTTTCCTCACAGAATCGACAAAAAAAAAAACGAACCAAAAATTGTTATAGGAAGTTTTTTGGGGCACTTAATCTAAATTTTACGTCGAAAACGATCCCCTGAACACCTGGTGCACTAGAACCTGGACCTCATCTCCGTGGGTTTTCTTCAGGGAACTAAAAAAAAAAACGAACTGAAATTCGTTATGGGGGTTTTTTAGGGTACCGAATTCTATTATGGCATTGGCGAACACCCCCTGACACCTGGTGCGCCCAAACCTGGACGTCTTCCTCGGGAAATTTCCTGACAAGATCACCAAAAACAACCCGAAAATCATTGTATGGGCGTTTTTTTGAGTGTTTAATCCAAATGTCACGTCGAAAACGATTCTCTGAACCTGGACCTCATCTCCGTGAGTTTTCCTCACAGAATCGACAAAAAAAAACGAACCAAAAATTGTTATAGGAAGTTTTTTGGGGCACTTAATCTAAATTTTACGTCGAAAACGATCCCCTGAACACCTGGTGCACTAGAACCTGGACCTCATCTCCGTGGGTTTTCCTCGGGGAACTAAAAAAAAACGAACTGAAATTCGTTATGGGGGTTTTTTAGGGTACCGAATTCTATTATGGCATTGGCGAACACCCCCTGACACCTGGTGCGCCCAAACCTGGACGTCTTCCTCGGGAAATTTCCTGACAAGATCACCAAAAACAACCCGAAAAATCATTGTATGGACGTTTTTTTGAGTGCTTAATCCAAATGTCACGTCGAAAACGATTCTCTGAACCTGGACCTCATCTCCGTGAGTTTTCCTCACATAATCGAAAAAAAACGAACCAAAAATTGTTATAGGAAGTTTTTTGGGGCACTTAATCTAAATTTTACGTCGAAAACGATCCCCTGAACACCTGGTGCACTAGAACCTGGACCTCATCTCCGTGGGTTTTCTTCAGGAAACTAAAAAAAAAACGAACTGAAATTCGTTATGGGGGTTTTTTAGGGTACCGAATTCTATTATGGCATTGGCGAACACCCCCTGACACCTGGTGCGCCCAAACCTGGACGTCTTCCTCGGGAAATTTCCTGACAAGATCACCAAAAACAACCCGAAAATCATTGTATGGGCGTTTTTTTGAGTGTTTAATCCAAATGTCACGTCGAAAACGATTCTCTGAACCTGGACCTCATCTCCGTGAGTTTTCCTCACAGAATCGACAAAAAAAAACGAACCAAAAATTGTTATAGGAAGTTTTTTGGGGCACTTAATCTAAATTTTACGTCGAAAACGATCCCCTGAACACCTGGTGCACTAGAACCTGGACCTCATCTCCGTGGGTTTTCCTCGGGGAACTAAAAAAAAACGAACTGAAATTCGTTATGGGGGTTTTTTAGGGTACCGAATTCTATTATGGCATTGGCGAACACCCCCTGACACCTGGTGCGCCCAAACCTGGACGTCTTCCTCGGGAAATTTCCTGACAAGATCACCAAAAACAACCCGAAAATCATTGTATGGGCGTTTTTTTGAGTGCTTAATCCAAATGTCACGTCGAAAACGATTCTCTGAACCTGGACCTCATCTCCGTGAGTTTTCCTCACATAATCGAAAAAAACGAACCAAAAATCGTTATAGAAGGTTTTTTGGGACACTGAATCGGATTTTCCGTTTTTTGGGGCACTTAATCTAAATTTCACGTCAAAAATGACCCCCTGAACACCTGGTGCACTAGAACCTGGACTTATCTCCGTGGGTTTTCCTCCTAGAATCGAAAAAAACGAACAGAAAATCGTTAAGGGGCGCTGAATCCGAATTTTACGTCGAAAACGACCTTCCTAACACCCGGTGCCCCAGAACCTTTATCTTGACATCGATGTCATTCCCATGAATGTCAACCAAACCTGATGGTTTAGAGATGAACGTCAATACTTCAAGAGCTGTGTGGAATTGTTGATTTTAGTTAAATTTTGTGATTACAATCTAACTGTAACTTTATCTTAACAAGATAAAAAGTAGGGACATTTTTTCCAATAAATACAATTTTTCACCTCTTTTCAACCCCTCCCCAGGCTGCGTTTATGTTTCTTTTATTTATTATAGGCCCTTCTACCATTTACACTTATAAAAGTTCTGTTAACAATTTTTTTTCTCAAAGTTTAATTTGATCAGACTAGGAATTACCTTTGCATATTATTTATTTTGTTCTGTAGCCAGTCCAGATTTAGATCACAAGCTAAGATGGGATATGTTTAGATTATCCGAATTAGAATGCTATAATGCAATGCTGACTAGACTATATAAACAAGAACTACAAAATATCGTCATGAGATATGAATCATATAGGTGAGTGTATTCGTATTAAAAAAATGCATCAATATTAGTTTTAAAAAAAGATATTTGTATTTAAAATACAGGGTGTCCTTTAAAATGTGTCCCAAAATTCTCAGGCAGATTCCTTAACCAAAAAATGGAAAAAAAGTTCCTATAGACCTATGTCCTAAAGTGCCCCCTAAGCGAGCAACAGCCTCTCGAAATCATTTTTTTTATTTTGATTTTTTTAATTTTCTAAAAATGGAAACAAATAAAAGAACCAAATTTTGGCTGTTAAATATGATCAATAATAGTGACCTTTTGACACCTTCAAAAAGAAATTATTTCGTCAGGGGTGTACTTGGGAATTTTTTGAAAATTTTGATTATTCATAACTTTTTTGTGTTTTTGGTAATGACTTATCCATATTTTTTTTTACATTCTACATTGAAAACTACGTCAAAAAGGAATACTTGTTTGATCTCGATTGGAGCAGCCGTTTCCGAGAAAACATCATCCAAAGATATTCGTCCACTTTAGCTTTTCCTAAATTACCTCGGTGAATCTCGTAAATAAAAATAACTTTTTTAGCTCTCTCTAAATAATTGTAGTTCAAATGTCGTGGTGGGACTATTTTTATTTAATAATAAGAAACGGTTTAAAAAAATATTTATTCTAAAAAAAAAAAATCAAAAAAAATTAAAGCAGATGCTCAATGTGGCGACCATTGGTTTCCACACACAAGCGCAACCGTCGCATCATAGACTGTCTTACACGAAAAAATACTTCAGGATTATTCCTAAGAACTTCGCAATGATGAAAAACTCGTTCTTCCAATTCTTCAACTGTTTCAACAGGACTGGAATAAACCAATGATTTTAAATAACCCCAAACAAAAAAATCCATTGGATTTAGATCTGGTGAACGAGGTGGCCAGTTAACAGAACAACCTCTGCCAATTACTCTACCCTCAAATCTTTCGTTAAGGTGCTGTCTAGCTTCAAGGCTGTAATGTGGTGGAGCTCCATCATGCATAAACCACATGTTATGTCTGATTTGAATCGGAATATTATCAAGAAGCTCATGTAAGTTATTTTCCAAAAAAAGCCTGTATGCTGCTCCATTTAACCTATTCGGCAAAACAAATGGTCCAATAAGGTAATTATCAATAACTCCAGCCCAGACGTTTATTGAAAATTTATCCTGGTGGTGACGTTCAACAACCGCGTGAGGGTTATCTTCAGCCCATTCATGCATATTTCGAAAATTTATTATACCATCTCTAGTGAAACCAGCTTCATCGGTAAATAGCACTTTATTAAGAAACATTGCATCTTGATTACATCTTCCAAGAAACCATTCAGAAAAGATAACTCGCGGCTCATAATCAGTAGCTTTAAGTGCCTGAACTTTTTGAATGTGGTAAGGGTACAATTGTTGTTCACGCAAAACTTTCCATACCGTGTTACGTCCGACTCCCACTTCTGAAATTAAATGAGAGAATCTGTGTAGTGAATAGTTAAGAAAGAGAATCCATTGATTTGGGAAATCAGATTTTTTCTGCATAACGCAACTCTTTTCGATACGAAAAGTCGTGAAATGTAAGAGAAGCAATAACAAGTAAAAAAACTAGTTTTATACGATAAGGTACGGGGTAGCTAAAATAATAAATAAGTAATTACTTACCATTTGCTATTTTTCTGGTACTTGTCGATGGGGTTTCAGCTACCCTATCCAAAATTGCTTCTTCCAAAGCAGGAGTTCTCACATAATTTTGTCTTCCACTGTTACTAGAGTTTTTCTTAAATGTACCAGTTTCCCGAAGTCTATCGTCAATTCTAGAAAACGTCTTAGCGCATGGAAGATGCCTATTTGGAAAGCGCTCCTGATAAAGTCTGCGAGCTTCATTGGCATTTCCAGAAGCGAGTCCAAAACATAAGTACATGTCCGTCATTTCGCCGAATGTGTAATCATTATTGTAGTTATTGTGAGCCATTTTAAACAAAATAATAACAATACAACGAATCGCACCAGAACACTTTTAGAAATAATGTTTAACTGAAGAAACATTTTTATCAGTGAGCGAAAAAAATTATCCATGAAACACAAAAACGCCAAAAAAATACATATTTTTACTTTTTTATTCTAAACAGCTAAATACAAACCTTATGGTCTTCATAATAAATAAATGGGAACTAAATTTTTAAATTTTATTTAGAGAGCTAAAAATAGTATACAGGGTGATTGATTAGTGTGAGGAAGCTCTGTAGATCTGTTATAATAAAAGTAGGCAGCTTTAAGCTTCACATTTTAAAATTAGTTACGATGTGACAGGGTGTTTCATAAGGTCGTGCCAAATCAAAGTTATGTTTTTTAAATGGAACACCCTGTATATTTTTATATTTTTAGAATCTGCTCGATAATCTGATTTCAATGATATATCACACTTGTTATCTAATATGAATAGTAAAGGATCTACAGCTACTCAAAAATCACATTTTTTCAAATTCAGGTGGCTGTTGTAGCCAAACAGTTGGAAATCGAGGAAAACGGCTTACAGTCCCTATCCTAACTTTTTAAGGTCTATTCAGTGACATAAAATACATATTATTTGATACAGGGTGATCAAAAATCCAAAATCACATCCGATTTTTGATCACCCTGTATCAACTAATATTTTTTGCCACTGAATAGACCTTCAAAAGTAAGGATAGGGACATGTAAGTCGTGTTCCTCGATTTCCAACTTTTTGGCTACAACAGCCAAAATTGAAAATTAACCTAAACTGCACGAATATCTTTGGATGATGTTTTCTCGGAAACGGCTGCTCCAATCGAGATCAAACAAGTATTCCTTTTTGACGTAGTTTTCAATGTAGAATGTAAAAAAAAATATGGATAAGTCATTACCAAAAACACAAAAAAGTTATGAATAATCAAAATTTTCAAAAAATTCCCAAGTACACCCCTGACGAAATAATTTCTTTTTGAAGGTGTCAAAAGGTCACTATTATTGATCATATTTAACAGCCAAAATTTGGTTCTTTTATTTGTTTCCATGTTTAAGAAAATAAAAAAAATCAAAATAAAAAAAATGATTTCGAGAGGCTGTTGCTCGCTTAGGGGGCACTTTAGGACATAGGTCTATAGGAACTTTTTTTCCATTTTTTGGTTAAGGAATCTGCCTGAGAATTTTGGGACACATTTTAAAGGACACCCTGTATAACTCAGTTTACAGCAGCAGTAAAAAACCTAATTAACTTTCTTAAAACTTTAATAAATACTCTATGATACTATTTTTTTTTACATTTTATTTACATTTTTCTTACAGATCAGCTTTGATGATGGAAATGGAAAAATTTGGAATTCATCGGAAAAACCGTTAGCATTTTAAATGTTTTAACCCTTTTGTGATCATTTTTATTTTATTTATTGCTTTCTACTTTTTCATCGTCTTCTACTTTTTCGACAGAAAAACCGGTTACTCTGTATACTTTAGCATCTTTTATTCCTAACGTTTTAGCCCACCTGTGACCTGTAAAAAATATGTAATATAATTTATTTTTAATCTGTCGTTTTATTATGCAAAACTTGAAATAAATCTATTCAAATTCGGTGTAATTACATAATTTAAACACCTAAAAAAAATCGTTATGGGTTTTTATTGGGGTGCCGAATTCAAATTCAATTGTCACCTGGAGCGCAGGAACCTGGACGTGGACGTCATCCCCGAGAATTTTCCTGAGAAGATCGCCAAAAAAACCCGAAAATCATTATGGATGCGTTTTTTGGGGCGCTGAATCCAAATTTCACGTCAAAAACGATCCCTTGAACACTGGGTGCAGTAGATCCTGGACCTCATCTCCGTGGGTTTTACTCACAGAATCGAAAAAGACGAACTGAAAATCGTTTTGGGGGGTTTATTGGGGTGCCGAATTGAAATTTGGCATTGACGGACACCTGGTGCGCCTTAATCTGGACGTGGACGTCATCCCCGAGAAATTTCTTGACAAGATCACCAAAAACAACCCGAAAATCCATTTTGGAGGCATTTTTTTGGTCGCTTAATCCAAATTTCACGTCGAAACGATCCCCTGAACACCTGGTGCACTAGAACCTGGACCTCATCTCCGTGAGTTTTCCCTCATAGAATCGAAAAAGACGAACTGAAAATCGTTTTGGGTTTTTTTTTGGGGTGCCGAATTGAAATGTGGCATCGTTGAACATCTTTCGGACACCTGGTGCGCCCTAATTTAAACGTGGACGTCATCCCCGAGAATTTTCCTGAGAAGATCGCCAAAAACAACTCGAAAATCATTGTGGAGGCGTTTTTTGGGGCGCTTAATCTAAATTTCACGTCGAAAACGATCCCCTGAACACCTGGTGCACTAGAACCTGGACCTTATCTCCGTGGAGTTTCTTCATAGAATAAAAAAAAAAAAAAAAACGAATTGAAAATCGTTATGGGGTGCCGAATTCAAATGTGGCATCATCGAATACCTTCCAGACACCTGGTGCACCCTAATCTGGACGTCATACCCGAAAATTTTCCTGACAAGATCGCCAAAAACAACCCGAAAATCATGGTGGAGGCTTTTAATCTAAATTTCACGTCGAAAACGATCCCCTGAACACCTGGTGCACTAGAATATGGACCTCATCTCCGTGGACTTTCCTCTCAGAATCGAAAAAAACAAACTGAAAATCGTTATGGAGTTTTTTTGGGGTGCTAAATTGAAATGTGACATCGTCGAATACCTTTCGGACACCTAGTGCGCCTTAATCTGGACGTGGACGTCATCTCCGATAATTTTCTTGACAAGATCACCAAAAACAACCTGAAAATCCATTTTAGAGGCGTTTTTTGGGCGCTTAATCCAAATTTAACGTTGAAAACGATCCCCTGAACACTTGGTGCACTAGAACCTGGACCTCATCTTCGTGGGTTTTCCTCATAGAATCGAAAAAAAAAAAAAAAAAAAAAAAAAACTAATTGAAAATCGTTATGGGGTGCCGAATTTAAATGTGGCATCGTCGAATACCTTCCAGACACCTGGTGCACCCTAACCTGGACGTCATCCCCGAAAATTTTCCTGACAAGATTGCCAAAAACAACCCGAAAATCATTGTGGAGGCGTTTAATCTAAATTTCACATCAAAAACAATCCCTTGAACACCCGGTGCAGTAGAACCTGGACCTCGTCTCCGTGGGTTTTCCTCACAGAATCGAAAAAGACGAACTGAAAATCGTTTTGGGGGGTTTATTGGGGTGCCGAATTGAAATTTGGCATCATCGGACACCTGGTGCGCCCTAATTTGGACGTGGACGTCATCTCCGAGAATTTTTCTGACAAGATCGCCAAAAACAACTCAAAAATCATTGTGGACGCGTTTTTTGGGGCGTTTAATCTAAATTTCACGTCGAAAACGATCCCCTGAACACCTGGTGCACTAGAACCTGGACCTCATCTCCGTGGGTCTTCCTCACAGAATCGAAAAAGACGAACTGAAAATCGTTTTGGGGGTTTTTTGAGGTGCCGAATTGAAATGTGGCATCGTTGAACACCTGGTGCGACTTAATCTGGACGTCATCCCCGAGAATTTTCCTTATAAGATCGCCAAAAACAACACGAAAATCATTGAGGAGGCGTTTTTTTTGGGCATTTAATCCAAATTTCACATCGAAAATGATCCTCTAAACCTGGAGGCGGACCTCATCTCCCTGGGTTTTCCTCACAGAATCGAAAAAAAATTCCGTTTTTAATCTAAATTTTACGTCGAAAACGATCTTTTTCTACACCTAGTGCACCGGTACCTGGACGTCATCTCCGAAAGGTTTCCTCACACAATCAAAGTAGATGAACCCAAAATCGTTATGTGAGGGGTAAAGTTGTAGGAAAGGTATGTACTTAACGCGCATCCTGGCCGCGCATATGTAAACATCGTTATATTTATCGCGTATTTGTTTATATTTATTGATTTATTTATTTGTTATTTTACTTAGATATTATTTATTAATAATATAAAAGTAGCAATCTGATAATGTTTGTACAGTTATACTGTGTAAAAAAAACAATTATTTTATATGCGCGGCCAGGATGCGCGTCAGTACATACCTTTCCTGCAACTTTACCACAAAGGTATTCAAATTCGGTGTAATTACATAATTTAAACACCCTTACTAATATATTGTAATCTACCCCTTGAAAAGTCAATGAAAAATGTCACAAGCGTAAGTTTAACTTAATAAAAAACAAACCTGGTGACATTTTCTCTTCTTCCTCAGTTTTTATGCCGTAATATTTGGCCCAGTCCGATTTACCAGAATAAATTTGGTATACAACGAATCCGAATGCATTCCAAGCTATAAGAGTATATATAATAGATAGTCTACTTCTCCACAATTCAGCCCTAGGTTGGGGTATGGGGTTGGTGTTTCTTCTAATTAACCTTCTTAGCCAATAAAATCGAAAAAAAGACATTATTTTAATCGATATTATTTGTTTTTAATTGATATTCAGAACATTAACCTATTTATTTTACACTTGACATGTTTGACAGTGACAGCAAATCGAGGGTCTTTAACTTTTCAGTGTTGCAGTACAATTGGGGACCGTTCGGTAACCTAAGCCCTTTATGACATTGCAACCTAGCTATTTGACAGAGTCAATGACATATAGTTATATAGATTGATGTCTTGAAGTACAAGAATAGTGCCATGACACCAGTGTTGTTCCTAGAGATTTTTGAATTGTACAATTTTCAGTGTCAAAATTGTACATTTTTACTTTTGATTGCAACCACTAATTAATCTTCTTCTTTTTTATTGACAGACTATGGCCTACTACTTTCCCATGCTTAAAATTCTTCTTTTTTCCAGTTTAAAATATATTTTTGATGTGAAACGATGTACTGTACAGCTCTTAAAAATTCCAATTTAACTTTTCCCCTTTTTGTATTAAAAATTCCCTCAACATCAGGAAATTTCCTTCCTGTTGGCAACACTGACGGTATCACAGAACGAAAACTCAAAATGTCAACTGTCACTATTAACCGTTTGTTCACCGCTTCGAGGCCGGGAACCAATGATCTAGAGTATAGTAGAATGCTTATCAATAGGCTTGAGATGCGACCATATTAAATTGGATTATTTCCTCAAATTCTAATTAGTAGTAGAAAATAATGATTGGGATTTCAAAAATTGATACTTTACGGTCGAATCTTAGGCAATTTTACGTTTCCTGCGAATTGGCTTGAAACGGCGTAACAAAATAAATAGTAAATTACAACTCTTTGTCAACTCTTCTACGAAATTTTAATAAAAAAAATAGAATAAAAGAAAATTGAATCATTACTCTGGTACAATTTATAGAATCTGGTACATAACAAATATATGTTCCGGCAACATTGGTCTCTATCAAATTCAAAATGGTTCTATTTTTTTCTAAATATCTTATTTTTTTTTGACACTAGAATGTTATATGCTCCCGAAAACAATTAAATAAGACTTACCTAATCTAACTGTTAGTCCATTTAGAAACAGCGGCACTAGTGGCTAAACACATCACATACCGAATACATTGTTAATTTGAAAATAGAGTGGAATGAATGTTTTAAGGTTAAAAGAACTTTAACCGTGAAATGGAAATATTGTAGTCTAAGAGACCGCGGGAGATCGACCTTCACCTATCTGATAACCAAATGAGGCATATTTTTTATGAAATATAATCCGTTTTCGAAATATAAAAAGTTTGTGAAATACTAATTTCACCTTTCTCCAAACTTTCGCGAGATTGTAGCGACTCAAAATTTGTTGAAGAAGGTTTAAACGCATTTGTTTCTAAAAAGACCGGAGTTTATCATGAGGAAATGGATGCAGAACATTATAAAAAATGGTTTTAAAAATCGAACCAGATCTGTTATTGTTATGGATAACGCTTCATACCACAGCCGGCGTGTAGAACAGTTACCAACCACCAAATAAAGAAAATTTCAATTGAAAAGACAGTCTTAAATGAACTTGTACAATCTGAGCCAAAAAAAGTCGATCTTTTTTTGTGTTTTATTTTCAACGCGTTACCTACATTCAAACCCACAAGCCATCACTGCTGCAGACTGGTTTTGGTTTTTTTTTCTCCTCTTGGTTACCCCTACTACATAATTTCATTAGTAAATTAATTTGTTACGTGTTAACAAACTTTTATAAAAATATAAATATAAAAATAAAATACGATTATTTTCAAAATAACGAATTTATTAGTTATGCTCTATAAGTATCTAAGTTTTACGGCTTTACTCTATAAGTATTGTATACTAATATTTTAACCCTTGACCAACTGATGTTTTCAAAAAGATCCAAATGTTGATTAATGAATTTCAAGCAATCGTCTTTTTTAGGAAGCTTCTTTTTTTTAATGTGATCCTTAAAATAGTGTAAGACAGTAGATTTTTGATCCTTCGTCCAATAATACCTTCTTGATTTTTTAACAGGACCAATAGATTCTTGTTCTGTCACTTCAATTGAACTAGAAGGAACATCGTCTGTACTTTCTCTTTCAATATCAGCCTCAATATCTGGATCTTTTAATTCGACATCATCAAAACTTTCATTTTCATTTAACTCGATGTCTTTTAATTTTTTTCCTTTGAAAGTTTCTCCCTTTCCTGCGTTTATTAATAGCAACACTTTAGCTACTTTGGCTGTTTGGTGTAGGTCTTCGGGTAGACTAAAATAAAACGAAAACGAATTAAGTCCACCTAAACCAAAGATATTATCGAATAACGAAACTCCAAGAGATCGGAATAGGAATTTAACTTTAATACTCTCTAAATTTAACAGCTGATGGAATTTAACAATTTTGTTTGTAGAATAATGATTCTATGCTCTTTATAAATGTTTTCTGAAATTTTGAAGTCTATAAATCTGTTAGTTTTGGAATTAGGGACGAAACAAAGGTTCTAATATCAACTTTAACAAATAGGAATTTAACTTTAATACTCTTTATCTTTAATAATTGTTGGAATTTAAGAATTTTGTTTATAGAATAATGATTCTACACTCTTTATAAATGTTTTCTGAAATTTTGAAGTTTATAAATCTGTTAGTTTTGGAATTAGGGACGAAATAAAGGTTCTAATATCAACTTTAACAAATAGGAATTTAACTTTAATACTCTTTATCTTTAATAATTGTTGGAATGTAAGAATTTTGTTTGTAGAATAATGATTCTACACTCTTTATAAATGTTTTCTGAAATTTTGAAGTTTATAAATCTATTAGTTTTGGAATTAGGGACGAAACAAAGGTTTCAATATTAACTTTAACAAATAGGACTTTAACTTTAATACTCTTTATCTTTAATAATTGTTGGAATTTAAGAATTTTGTTTGTAGAATAATGATTCTACACTCTTTATAAATGTTTTCTGAAATTTTGAAGTTTATAAATCTGTTATTTTTGGAATTAGGGACGAAACAAAGGTTTCAATATTAACTTTAACAAATAGGACTTTAACTTTAATACTCTTTATCATTAATAATTGTTGGAATGTAAGAATTTTGTTTGTAGAATAATGATTCTACACTCTTTATAAATGTTTTCTGAAATTTTGAAGTTTATAAATCTGTTGGTTTTGGAATTAGGGACGAAACAAAGGTTCTAATATCAACTTTAACAAATAGGAATTTAACTTTAATACTCTTTATCTTTAATAATTGTTGGAATTTAAGAATTTTGTTTGTAGAATAATGATTTTACACTCTTTATAAATGTTTTCTGAAATTTTGAAGTTTATAAATCTGTTAGTTTTGGAATTAGGGATGAAACAAAGGTTTCAATATTAACTTTAACAAATAGGACTTTAACTTTAATACTCTTTATCTTTAATAATTGTTGGAATGTAAGAATTTTGTTTGTAGAATAATGATTCTACACTCTTTATAAATGTTTTCTGAAATTTTGAAGTTTATAAATCTGTTAGTTTTGGAATTAGGGACGAAACAAAGGTTCTAATATCAACTTTAACAAATAGGAATTTAACTTTAATACTCTTTATCTTTAATAATTGTTGGAATTTAAGAATTTTGTTTGTAGAATAATGATTTTACACTCTTTATAAATGTTTTCTGAAATTTTGAAGTTTATAAATCTGTTAGTTTTGGAATTAGGGATGAAACAAAGGTTTCAATATTAACTTTAACAAATAGGACTTTAACTTTAATACTCTTTATCTTTAATAATTGTTGGAATGTAAGAATTTTGTTTGTAAAATAATGATTCTACACTCTTTATAAATGTGATCTGAAAGTTTGAAGTTTATAAATCTATTAGTTTTGGAATTAGGGACGAAACAAAGGTTCCAATATCAACTTTAACAAGTAGGAATTTAACTTTGCTACTCTCTATCTTTAATAGCTATTGGAATTGAAGAATTTTGTTTGTAGAATAATGATTCTACACTCTTTATAAATGTTTTCTGAAATTTTGAAGTTTATAAATCTGTTAGTTTTGGAATTAGGGACGAAACAAAGGTTTCAATATTAACTTTAACAAATGGGACTTTAACTTTAATACTCTTTATCATTAATAATTGTTGGAATGTAAGAATTTTGTTTGTAGAATAATGATTCTACACTCTTTATAAATGTTTTCTGAAATTTTGAAGTTTATAAATCTGTTAGTTTTGGAATTAGGGACGAAACAAAGGTTTCAATATTAACTTTAACAAATGGGACTTTAACTTTAATACTCTTTATCATTAATAATTGTTGGAATGTAAGAATTTTGTTTGTAGAATAATGATTCTACACTCTTTATAAATGTTTTCTGAAATTTTGAAGTTTATAAATCTGTTAGTTTTGGAATTAGGGACGAAACAAAGGTTATAATATCAACTTTAACAAATAGGAATTTAACTTTAATACTCTTTATCTTTAATAATTGTTGGAATTTAAGAATTTTGTTTGTAGAATAATGATTTTACACTCTTTATAAATGTTTTCTGAAATTTTGAAGTTTATAAATCTGTTAGTTTTGGAATTAGGGATGAAACAAAGGTTTCAATATTAACTTTAACAAATAGGACTTTAACTTTAATACTCTTTATCTTTAATAATTGTTGGAATGTAAGAATTTTGTTTGTAGAATAATGATTCTACACTCTTTATAAATGTTTTCTGAAATTTTGAAGTTTATAAATCTGTTAGTTTTGGAATTAGGGACGAAATAAAGGTTCTAATATCAACTTTAACAAATAGGAATTTAACTTTAATACTCTCTATCTTTAATAATTGTTGGAATTTAAGAATTTTGTTTGTAGAATAATGATTCTACACTCTTTATAAATGTTTTCTGAAATTTTGAAGTTTATAAATCTGTTAGTTTTGGAATTAGGGATGAAACAAAGGTTTCAATATTAACTTTAACAAATAGGACTTTAACTTTAATACTCTTTATCTTTAATAATTGTTGGAATGTAAGAAT